GGTTTCGATCTAGTCCATTGATCATTACATGGAGCGTGTTGCAAAAATCTATGGTTGTTGTTTAAATTCACGATATTTATGAGGTTGTATACTCATCAATAATGGCCTTGTGGCCAACATATATTATATTTAGTGTGTCATAGTTTGGTATTCAATTGAGGATTGGGATGATGTTAGCCCTTTCAGCTAGCTTCCATCGGTTGCTTGTAATAAAACTGGGTGTAAGTTTGTGGTTATGGTTGTTTACTACATATTTTCTGTTTCTTAATTAATTAAGTTACTATTTACAATGTTGCTTTAATTATGAACTCATCAAAATCTATCTTTCTAGTTTATCTTTATCTATCTTACTTTGACTTTTTTCATATTTGTCGGAGATATTATTTAGAGTATTTGATTGTCAATTAGAATAACTCAAATTCAAATAGGATTGAAAAATATCATAATTAATGATAGGTTAATATTCTATCTTATCTCATGGTTGAAAATGTTCTCTGCAATTTGTACTTATATACAATAGAATCATGAAAACAATTTGAGGTTTTCTACTCTCCATGTTTTTCGATCAACTGAAACTCTACTTAACCTTCGACGACTCTGTCTTTTTTCTTTTTCCTACTCAATTTTCATAACGTTCTCCTCCTTTTTTTTTTTTTTTTTTTTTACAACTCATCTATTTTTTCAGTAATCATCTTCTTCATTGTCTTGTCTATAAAAAGGTAATATAAACAATAAGAACAACCTTTTTTTTACGAAAAAAAAAATTGAAATAAGGATAATCCGTTGATATCAATCCCACTAATTTGATTTTGGTTAAATTTTTTCTTAAAACCAAAACAACAATCTCTTGTAAGATTTTGATTCATTTAAAACTTTAAAACTTAAACAAAACAATTATTTATATTAATTCAAGCAATATTCATATTATGATATTGATAGATAAAATCAACATTTAATCCTACTATAGAGCTTCTAAAAAAAATCTTAAAGCCAGAGCATAATGCAAATTATTGAAATCTGCTTAATTCAATAAGATATGCTCTCTTGATTCTTCAAAATAAATTGAGAGATACTATCATCTTGCCAAATAGACGCGGATCAAAACAATTTAATTTGTGCCATTATCTTTCTTTCATTTTCATAAATTTTAAAATTATATTTTTTAGTGTCTAATTTTTTATTTTTGGTTTGGTACCTCTAGTAATTTTTTTTATTTTACTATTCAAGCTTTCATTTTTATTTTTTCTGTTTTGATGCCTGCAATTAGGATTGATAAAATAATTCTGATTTGTTCAAATACATATGTTTGATAAGGATAATACTTAATAGTTAATATGTGATAAGAGTAAGACACTAAGACTAAATAGTTAATATCCTTGTTTAACTATATGTCTTTAACATGCTTCTCTTTGGACAGCTAGTATTCTACTAGTTAACTAATTCTATATATATATATATATATATATATATATATATATAATTACTGTATCACAATCTAATACAGAAAAGTTTATTTAATTCTACAGGGTATCAGAGCCAATTTAGCTTAACAGTAATATATATATATATATATATATCCAGCTACTGCAAGAGCTTGATTGGAGTTAGTGGAACTAAGTCGAACAAGTTGGTTAGCCACTTGTCTATTGCCCCGCCAAACCCAGTAGTAAAACGCCAGCTACTACAATCTTTTCCCTCACCAAAACACGCCAGCTACTGCCCAAATATACCTCTTTCACTAAATCACGCCTAAATCACACACTGACATATACTACGAACACGCCCAAATCAGTTGGCTACCAGCCCGCTACTGCCCAAATCGCGTACAAAATATACCCACGTCCCTGACCTGTTACTTTTGCTTAACTACATCCACTGATGGCAAAATTATTACACAGATTCAGTTCATGAGGACCAAAACATTGTGATTAATTGGTGTAATGACGCACTGTTACAATTGGTTCTTGCAATGAAATCCGATAATGTGATTGGCTTGTGAAGAAACGCGCTCTATTTTTTTTCTTATTGAACATATACAGAGTACAAGTATATATAAGAGAGGTCTATCTCTTGAGATAATGACAAGTACGTTAGTTTTGCCTAGATATATGCAACTGTGACTCCTATACATGATGAACTCTTAGTCTTTCATATATACTCAAACTAGGAAACAAAAATAGAGACAGATATATCTCCCAATACCCCCCTCAAGCGGGATCCGGAGGATTGATGGATCCAAGCTTGCTCAAGAGTCGATGAAACTAGGTAGAAGGTAGCACTTTGGTGAACACATCCGCAAGTTGGTCACTAGTTCGCACATAATGGGTATTGATAAGCTTAGACTGAACTTGTTGACAAATGTAGTGACAATCCTTTTCAATGTATTTTGTCCTCTCATGAAACACAAGATTGGCTGCGATATGCATGGCGGCTTTATTATCACAAAAAAGTGTCATCGGAGTAATGCACGAGCAACCCGGATCTTCAAGAAGACCTTTGAGCTATACAAGCTCACAAGCCGCTCGTGGCCATAGCATGATAATCGGCTTTGGCATTGGAACGAGCTACTATATGCTATTTTTTTCTTTTTCGGGAGACTAAATTACCACCAACGAATACACGAGTAATCGATAGTAGATTGACGATCAAGGGTATTTCCAACTCAATCCGAATCAATATACCCCATAATGTTAGTGTACTCGCTTTTGGTCATTAGTATCTCACGACCAACCGTTCCCTTCAAGTAGCGCAAGATACGTTTCACCATACATAAATGATGAACGAGTTGGTGCATGCATATGTTGACCGACAAGACTTACAAGCAAAAGAAATGGCAGAGCCGCGTGATAGTCAAATAGATAAGCTTTCCCACAAGTTTTTGATAATAACTTGGTGAATCAAAAGCTTCTCCCATTGACTCAAGCTTCAACTTACTCGTTTAGAGGAGTAGCTACGGATTTAGCATGTGACATACCGAGTGTTTTGAAGCAAATCCAAAATGTATATGCGTTGATTATGAAAGAGCCCCTTGCTGGAAGTTGCCATTTCAATGTCGAGAAAATATTTTAAGGAACCAAGGTCCTTAATAGGAAATTGATGCTGGAGGTTCTTCTTCAACTAGGTAATCAAATCAGCATTATTCCCGGTGATGATAAGATCATCAACATAAATCAACACAATTAGTTTATCGACATTCCTTAGTTAGACATATAATGAGGAATCGGTAAAGCTCCTTGAAAAACCAAGAACTTCAAGAGCGTAACTCAACATTGCATGCCATTCACGAGGACTTTGCTTTAATTCATAAATGGATTTATGAGTTTACACACCAAGTTATGATTACCACTTTGAGAATGGCCGAGGAGAGCTTTATGAATACTTCTTCTTCAAGATCGTCATGCAAAAAAGGCATTTTTTATGTCCATTTAAGACAAGGACCATATATCATTGATAGCAACGGACAAAAGGAATCGACCGTGGTCATCTTAGCAATTGGAGCAAAGGTCTCCTTATAGTCGATACCATATTTTTAGGAAAAACCTTAAGCTACAAGACTTGCCTTATAACGATCAATAGATCCATCAAAATTTAATTTGGTTTTACAAACCCATTGATTACCAATTGTATGTTTGCTGTTTGGAAGAGGTACTAGACTCCAAGTTTTATTTTCTACAAGTGCTATCGCCTCTTCCTCTAATGCTCTCTTCCATACGACTTGAGAGTGAGCTTCTTGAAAGTTTTTTGGCTCAAGAACATTAGATATAGCTGTGAGAAAAGCTCGTGCGAAGGTGATAGCCTTTGATAAGTCGGAGATTTAGTAAGAGGATAGCTGACTATGTAGGCCACATAATCTTGCAATTTGGTGAGAGGGTGGCAATCATATAGAGGATTACGCAAAGGAGCTAATGATTGATATTGTGTATTGGATGATTCCCGCTCGAGTTGAATTTGTAAGAGTTTCTTGAGGTACAACATCAACGGTATTTAAGGCATCATTAGTGGCATATACAATTGATGAAGAAGTATCGATTGTAACTTGAGCTAACCTATCATGCTTTTTAAGCAAATTAGCCGATTGTTCACGATAAGGCTCAACATCCGGCAAGGGAAAATAATTCAATCAGCATCTCCCCCTAATTAGAAGTCGTAAAATATGGACTTGTTTCAACAAATCCACCATCTCTACCGACATAGAGTTTTTTAGTGGTAGCATCATAGCACTTGTACCCCTTATTTGTTTGTGAATAACCCGGGAATATGCATTTGATAGCTTGTGCATCAAGTTTGTCATGATGAGTCACCGATATGTGCATGAAACAAGTGCGGCCAAAAATCTTTAAATGAGAGATGTCTGGTTTTTTGTCCTGCAATACCTCAAGAGGACATTTAGAATCCAGCACTCGATAAGGTAAACGGTTAACAAGATAAGTGGCGGGAAGAACTCCATAAGACCAAAAATACTTTGGAACATTCATTTGAAGCATTATGGCTCTAGTCTTCTCTAGCAAATCACGATTTTTATGTTCAAGCAACCTCATTCTCGTTGGGGTATGTTAACACGGCTAGTCCGATGCAATATTCCATTAGAATTTAAGTAATTTGTCATGTCATGAGATGTGTATTCTGTGCCATTATCGGATCGAAGAATTTTAATATGAGCTGAGAATTGAGTAGCAACTAACATGTGAAAATCCTTAAAATAACTAAAAACTTCACTTTTTGATTTCAATAGATATACCAAAGTAACTCTTGAAAAATCATCAATAAAGGTTATGAAATATTTAAAACCATCAATAGAAATGGAAAAAGGTCTCCATACATCCGAGTGAACAAGTTCAAATCTTGAGTAGTTTTAGATAATGAAGAATTAAAAGGAAGCCTAATAGACTTAGAATAATGATAAATCTCATAATCATGAGCTCCTTTAGGCAAATTCGGAGTTATTTTTGAAAGAACGAGACTTTGATGGATATGCTAGACGACGATGCCACAAGAGATGCTCATTGATAGGAGAGGAAACAGACTTGAAAACTTTTGAAAGCTTGAGAATCGGGAGAAAAATAGTAGAGCCCATGCAAATGAAATCCTTCACCAATCGTCTTCTTGGTGACAAGGTCCCGACATATAACCTTGTCGGGAGTAAATATAACTTCACATTTAAGAGAAGATGTCAATTTTTTAACGTAAAGTAATTGAAAAGGAAAAGAAGGAACATAAAGGACATCGAATTCTATATAAGCCGAGACAAGGTTGATTTTCTCTTTACCCTTAACGAAGCACCTTTCCCATTAACTACGTAAAGAAAAAAGAAGTTGGATAAGGATTAAAGTCATGAATATTGGTTATCTTATTTGTCATATGATCGGTGGCACCGGAATCAACAACCCACAAATCATGCAAAGTACTTATTTCTAATGCAATCATAAAAGCGATCGAATACTTTGGCTATTTTCGTAGTTTGCATCGATTAAACAACCAATGAATTTACTTATCGGTGCGACGGGCTCATCACGACCTTGGTTAATAGCTCCATCTTGTATTATTCCCCGACCGTGCTTTTCCTATAAATAGCTAACAAAGTCATTAAGCAAGGCAATAGGACTAGAGGAAAAAGATTCAGCGAGTATGGTTTGCTAAATGAGCCTTATAATTAGTGATTCATTTTTTTATCTCCTCCATTCTTATCCTTTGCAAATTTGGGCTTCATCTCTAGGTGAAGGCTCCAAGCAACGATCCATTAAATGTCCAGGAGAATTGTAGTATTCACATTTTAGGTCCGGACGCTTGCCTTTATAGAATTTTTTGTCGGAAGATTGATGAGCATGATAGGCACGAACTTCAAGAACACTAGAATTAGCATTACGAGACATAAATTTTTGACAAATTTCTTCGCGTTGAATAGATGCACAGTACACCTTTTAAGGATGAAAGTTCAGCACTCATCAAAATATGACGCCCGAAGTCCTCAAAGTTAGAGCCAAGACTCTCCAATAGTTGGAAAACTAGATCTTCTTCGGTTTGTTTTCGCAAAACGATTGGATCAATGGTGTGGGGTCAATAAACCTCGAGTTCATTCCATAAACTTTTAAATCTACCCAATAAACTAACAAAAGGTTTTCCATCTTGATGAAGATTAGCAATATCTTGTTGAATCTGAAAAATTCAGCAGCGAGTTATTTTGGTTACAATCATGTCCCGGACGACTTCCTAAAGATCCAAAGAGGACTCGAATAACTAAAGATTTTAGCAAGGTTATGTTCCATTGAGTTGAGAATCCAAGTCATAAGCATCCGGTCCTTAGACAGCCAAGCCTCATACTCCGGCGAATTAAAACCAGGAGATTTTTCGTTGCCATTGATAAATCCCAATCGTGATCTCCCACCAAGAGTAATAGTAACTCGCCCTTGACCAAGGGAGATGATTACATTCATTTAACAACATCGAAGTCAGTTTTTGAGAAATGTTGACATCACTTTCAACGGTAGCGCTGGAGGAGGCAACAACCACCTTAGTATTTTCTTCGTCGACCATGACTAAAGAAAGGAAAAGAAAAAAATAGGAGAGACAGGATCATTGCTTTGATACCATGAAGAAACGCGCTCTGTTTTTTTTTTTTATTAAACATATACAGAGTATAAGTATTTATAGGAGAGGTCTATCTCTTGAGATAATAACAAGTACGTTAATTTTACCTAGATATATGCAACTGTGACTCTTATACACGGTGAACTTCTAGTCTTTCATATATACTCAAACTAGGAAACAAAAACAGAGACAGCACAGATAAAAACAGAGATAGCTATATCTCCCAATAGCTTGGTACACACGGACTTGTCCTTGGTCCAAATCTCCTAAACATGTGATGAAAGTCTGAGCTAGTGCAGCTCAATAAAGATGGTTAGTGATTTGGAACAGGCATATTCACATGGATCCACAATACAACAAATCCAAGTACAATTTTGGTAGGTGAAGAATATTGATGTCTTGTACTTGTTGTCTAAAATATGACAGACAAGGATTGATGTCTAAATAGTAGGATGTGTCGTGTGCGTATTACTGGACGTAAACATAACTAATGGCATCGTGATATGCATTATTCTGAATTGGACAGCTGCATAGGTCGAAATTTAATGATCCAATTAAGATCCAATGTCTACATAATTCAAGTTTTAACTAGTAGGTATCATAATTTTAGATAATAATCTTTACGTAATTGTTATTTAACGTAACATGGTGATTGCTGTTTAACGGAATCGATCAAAACCGTTATCGTTTTTCATTGTTATATACGTAATAATTTTTTTATGTTGAAACACAAATTAATCCTAGAATATCTTTTACTGTTGGAAAAAAACAAAATTCACGGTATTTATTGCTTCATTGCCTAATTGTGGTGGCCAATTGCTGTATTTGAAAGGAAAGTTTATTAGTCCCGGAAGAAAACCACATTTGCCGAGTAAATTATAAATTAGTCATTTTTGTTTTGAGAAATAAATTAATTAGTTATTTTTATTTTAAAAACTAATTATTTAATTTTTATGTTTTGAAATCTCCTTGTAATTTAGTTTTTTTTTTAATTTATTTTCATTTTTTGTTTCAAGAAATAAAAAAAAAGAAAAAATATGAAAAAAAATATAAAAAGATTCACGAGAAAATAAGAGATTTTATGAAATAAAAATAATATTAAATTAAAAATATTTAATATTGATTAAATGAATAAATAATAGTTGTTTAAAAGAGGATTAATTAATTTGTTTCTTGAAACTAGAGTGGCTAATTTATAATTTACTCCACATTTGCCCTCCATTGTGAAAGAAAAACAATGATTTTCCTCAAAAAAAAAAAAAAAAAAAATCATGCATATTGAACAAGCGGTGGGATAAAAAAGGTCATTCTACACAATATTGGGGTATTATTTATAATTGGACACACCTCCCCTGTTTTTTATACTCTGTTTCTTCGAAACCAAATTCAAAAAATGGCCATCATCTCTCATTTCAATCAATATTCATGCAATAATCTCTTCAAAATAACACCTTTATACGTCCAATTCAGTTCTGCAAGACCTTCAATCACCCCTCTAAGCTCAACCAAAATCATCCCAGCAAGCAATAATTCCATCTTGAAATCAAGAATTCTGGTAAACAGAGAACCCATCAAGACAAGGCCATTGTTCTTGGTCAAGGCTGTGGATGGGGAGGAGAAGAAGCTGATTGAGCTGGTAGAGATTGATAGCTTAAAGACACAGCTGTTGAATTCTTTGCATGGAACTGATCATAGACTGATAGCTACTAGTGAGACAAGAGCTAAGGTTGTGGAGCTTATGGCTCAGCTTGAAGCCAGAAACCCCAATCTCCCACTGAGGCTCTGTCTCTGCTCAATGGCAAGTGGATTCTTAAGTAAGCTTTTCTTTTCTTTTCTTTTCTCTTCATTTTTTATTCTTTTTGGTTTTATAAATTGATACACATCGGTGGTTAGTAGTTAATGTTAGAATGGAAGATTAATCCGATCACCATAGCAAGGTCATTTACATGGTGATCCCGTGATGGTGCAGGTCCACATCTTTTGACGGTTTGTTCCCAGTGCTGTGGGGTACCCTGCCATTGGTAGAGATCAAGGAAATATCTCAGACAATCGACTCAGAGAACTTCACTGTTCAGAATTCTGCGCAATTCTCAGGGCCAATACATCCATTAGTGCCAATGCCAAATTTGAAGTCCGAAGCCCCAAACGTGTGCAGGTTTGTTTGCATTACATGGCTAATATCCCCTGTCTCCATTTTAATGGAGCAGAAACATTAGGAGTACTAATAAATCAACATGAGATCATTTCTTCAGCTTTTTAGAAAATAGAATTCACTCTCTTCTTCGTCTTTTTTTTTTTTTTTTTCCCTGAAGGTCGATCAGTACATTAGAATGGAAAGAGCCAGTAAAAAAGCGGGTAAAGATGAGTTTAGAATACCAAATTAAAAAAAAAAAAAAAAAAAAAAATGAAAAAAAGAAGATAATCTAAGTGACATTCTGTCCAAAATAAAACTAAGCTAAACTTAAACGTCCATCGAAGCTGAATTATCACTTCTAAGAACCCAACTGATGAGTTCTTGATGAATTTATTCATCTTTTAATTCCATCAAAACTACACAGCTGATCATTTTGAAATAAACAAAATGACCATCAATATATCTAGCCCAATTTGCTACTCTCTTCTTTGTCTTCTAAGTGTTTCAACTTGTCTTTACACCTACAGGCAGGGCAGCAGACTATACTGGAAGCAAGACTTCAACTAGTAAAACAATTACCATTTACAATAATTGAAACTTGAAGCCAATTAATTTGTTTTAAATTTTCTGTTTAAAATAATCAATGAGCTTTGAAAATTGGCCTGATATTCATTGTTTATTTATTCATTTATTGGTTTAGATCAAATTTGAACAAGGCATTCTTGGGACTCCCAAGCTGACAGAAAATGTGGAATTTCTGGGACATCAGTTCGACCTCACACTCTTTAGAGCCATAATCTCCTCTGTGGAAGATACAGCTTCATCTGTTGCAAAGACCATTTCCAGTCAATTACCATTGACGTTTCCTATCTCAAACAGCAGCGCTGAATCATGGTTGCTAACCACATACCTCGACGATGATCTTCGAATTTCAAGAGGTGATGCTGGAAGTTTATTTGTGTTTATTAAGGAAGGCAGTCCCCTCTTGACGCCCTGAAAAGAAATTTCCTTACTATTTTTTTCCCTTTTCATGCATTACAGCTTTGCAAATGACTTTTTCATTTATGTATGTGACAATTTATGAGCGTGAAATTAGAAGAATTGATAAAGTTGGTTTTAATCAGTATGACAGAGTCTCTCTTTGTGTACTTTGCTCCAAAGTTTCTATCCGGTACTTGATAAGTTGCAAACCAAGATAGCTAATGGAGCTATATTTTCTTTTATATGGAATTCAAGGAATGATCATCTTTTTCTTGAATTCTATGAAAGGGAGAAAACAAAAAGAAGCTAGTTGTTGTTGTTTTGTACTTTACATGCTCCTGTCTGATTGTTGATTGTGGTTGTTGTTTTGTATTTCTATCCAATTGTTTAAAATTCTTGGACTATTTCCGATCATTAAACAGACCTGATAATGGAACAAGCGAAGGAAAAAGAAGGAATGGAGCATAAACCATTTCCTTGAGGCAGATCTTGGTTTTAGGTGATGGCTGCAAGCAAAGTAGATAATATTAATTACTTTCTCTTTTATTTTCTTAATTCAGGTTGCAATTTCTACTTTTGAAGCTTAGGATGATAATGTTGAGAGGGTTATGCAGCTAAAATAAAAACACTCCGAGTGTGTGAAGCTGCAAGCAAGAGATGGGAGGTGTTGAAAGAACAGCTAGCAGAGCCGTATCGGGCAGCCATGAACAAGGGTTGAAAGGCTTAAATTATTATTGTTATTATTACGATGAACAGCATTGAAGTTGCAGATTTTCCCTTGACTGGGCGGATGGTAGTTAGATGGAGGATTGGCCCATTCAGAGAATGGGCTGAGTACATGGAAGAGAGGAAAAGGCAGCCTCTTTATTGGAAAGAGGCCGTGTGGGCATTTGGGTGGAAAATGAGTGCAGGGCATGTGGGTTTTTTTTTCAACCAAATGCTAAAATTTGATAAAACAACTTAGAACTTCTGATTATATATTTAGATAGAATATCTATCAACTTTTTCTTTTTTAACTCACACACCTAACGCTCCTAACAGAACTAGTCTACTAGGATTTGAATCCATAACCTCTTGTTGCAAGAGGTCACTACTATTAGGCTATAAGCTCTTTGGTAGAACTTCGATTTGTATTTAAGAAAATAGATCTAACTATATTTACTATAATGATCATAAAACACAATGTAATAGTTGTGACTTCATAGAGATAGGATTGGAGAAGTCCTCATAAAATGTTTATGTTTTTATTTGGAACAAAAATACTAGATTAACCCAAAACTTTTGCTATTGTATGCATTGAAGCATGGCTAGGTGAGCATGCCATGTGGGTAGACTCGCAAGAATGTATTTGAATAGGATGGAATGATGAAGGAGATTCAATTGGCATGGTGTAAAGGCCATTGTCTAGAGATTCTTTATGGAGGATTTTCTTCGTGCAAATATCCTTTATGAAGAAATAGTCAAGAAAAATTTCAAAAAGACATGATTAGATCTAGTAAAAGTAGATACAACTAACAAATTTTGACAGAAATTAGGAACATAAAAAATATGATCAAGAGTATAAGAATGATTGTGCTTGGGATAAAGAAGGCGAGAGATAAAGAAGAAGAACCAATATTGAGAATTAGGAAGGGTGTTACCATTACCGATTGTAACCTCCAAGTATTCAAAAAGAAGGGCTAAATTATTAAAATCAGCAATTATATATGGTGCATATCTTTAATATTAAGGACCCATTTTGGGCTGGTTTGGGTTGAGGCAAGATGAGATGTAATAGTGGACGGTAGAGGAGGATGAGTATTAGTTGTGTATTTACGAGAGGGACAAGCGGAATTGAGATGCTCAACCCCAAGACAATTGTAGCGATTGGTGCCGTAATAACTAGTGGAGGAAATGACTACCATGGTTGACTAGTTAAGTGGTAGGATTAGAGGTCGTTGGAGGAGAGGATGTGATCCCTTAATCATCTTTTTCCACGAGGATTGAAGTGTTGTTGTTGGGTATAGTGCGCATTAGGTAGAATTTCGGATGGATGAGACCTCTCTCTCTCTCTCGCTTTCTCTCATTCTCTCTAATTACATCTCTTCACTCAACAATAAATCAAACAAATCATCAAAGTTTATTGATTGAAGTCGGGTTTCAATATTACGGGTGAATGGTTTATAGGTAGACCCAAGGCCATGTAAGATGGCATTAATAAGATCTCCCTCGATGATTGGAATTTTAACGGCTACAAGTTGATTGGAGATGTGCTTGACACATTGTATATAGGTGGTAGCTAATTTTTACCATGCTTCGCGTGTAGATTTTACACCAACTACTTGTGATATAACTCCTTTAGAGAGAGAGAGAAGGGGGTAATTATCTAGCTTAGCACTAGCTAGTCTTTGACAAACGAATCTTCATATGTTGGGTTAAGAGCTCTATCAATTTGGATAGGTGGTGATAATTCAGAATCATCAACATAATTCATGAATTTGTAGCCTTGAAGAATGGGTGTGATTAGGGTGAGTAAAAAAAGATAATTTGTGGAGTTTAGCTTGAAAGAGAGTTGATATTGAACATGGGGAAGAGAGGTGATTTGTGTAATGGCATGATTGGGCATTTCTAGATGTTAGAACACATATCCCACATTGAATAGTTAAACTAATAATGAATAATATATAAAGTTGAGAAGGGATCACCCACCTAAAGGCTTAAGTCTTTTGGATGGAACCCAATCTCAACTATCTAACTCTATATAGTATTAAAGCCTCAAAGAGACCCCAACAAAGATCTTGGAGCCCAAGCCACTTGACGACTCCTAAAAGATGAATCGCAAGTGAGGGAGAGTGTTAGAACACATATCCCACATTGAATAGTTAAGCTAATTATGAATAATATATAAAGTTGAGAAGGGATCGCCCACCTAAAGGCTTAAGTCTTTTGGATGGAACCCAACCTCAACTATCTAACTTTATACTAGAGGAAGGTTGACGAATTTGGAAGAAGAAGAAGTAGTCATGATATTGTCGTGCGTTGTTAAACCTCTTAAGGCTCGATATCGTTGCCATAAGACTTTGGACGGGACTCCCTAAAATGAAATTCTTATTTACAAAGTTTATTTACAAGTTCGGAGTCGCCACCTAGTATTAAGGAATTACGAACCTAGAAGTAGCACTAGTTTGAGATTTTATGGTAAGGAGTTGGTTACACTTTTGGAAAGATATTTATTCACCCCAAAAGTGTCATTTCCGAAGAAAGGTAATATGTCTAGCTTAGTCCTAAATTTACCTCTTAAAATATTGTATTTATGCCAAATTATTTTCTCACTTTTTAAACTCTAATTTTTAAAACCAAATTAATTTTTTAGTTTTGGGCGTGGCATCGTATTGAAACGATCTTCGGTCCCTTTCGTTAGGTGACACGTCGATTCAAACATCGGATCCACTTTAAGTCTTGACACAACCGGTGTGTCGGAGGGCATCATGGCTAAATGATTTTTTTTATGACATCACTTCCTATCGGATATGAGACTTCGTTGAGAATATTATTTTCATTTTTGTATATGAATATTTAAAATCATTTTTTCTATTTTTGGAGAAAGGCAATTATCAATCCTAGAATCAAGAGACTTGACAATTAGTCTACCCATTAATCACATACCGAAATAAAAATCTACTATTACATTAATGGAATAAAATAAAGGAAATTCAAACATTGAACTAGAAATTACAAAAAAAAAAAAAAAAAACCACATAAAATAAATTCAAGATTAAATAAAATGAAACTTGGGCTCTTTTGTCTTTTTTCTCTTTTTAGAAGTTGGATCGGTCTAGCCCAATTTGCTTTCTTCTTCATTTTTCTTTTGGCTAGTCCGGAGTAAATTTGGTCCAGGTCCAAGTTCGACCCCACATGGGCTAACCCATGTCCTTCAGCTGCCTCAAACCACAAACTCTCCTCATTTTTTTTATTATTTCGATAAAACTCTCTCTTTCTCTCTTTCTCTCATGCGATTCCTCTCCTTTTTTTTTTCTTTCTTCTTCTCCCTCTTTATCCGCATTCCATCGGTGAACCAAAATCCCCCCTTTTTTTTTTCCTTCCTTTTTGTTTTTCTATTAGGGCTACTTCGGTTAAGCTCTCTCTCTCTCTCTCGTTCATCTTGCTATGATTTCAAGAAAAGAAATTGAACTTAAAGACCTAACAGGAAAATTAGTACGGGAGTCACGTTAGGATTACTTGAATCGAAATCAATCGAGTGAAGAGTAATTTTCAAGACCTTATGTTGTTGTTGCTCGTTGATTTTGGAGAGGGGAGCGAGTAGAGTCAAAGGAGTAGAGTAGAGTTAAAGGAATGGAATATAATTATTTTTGGACCTTGTTGTCATTATCGATTTTGTAGGGAATTGGGAGACTGTGACTTAATGATTGAGTTGTTGTTGTTAGGTCCGATGTATATGAAAAACTTGTATGGATTGTGTTTGGGAATTAGAATGATGAACAAGATCGGGAATAAAGAAAATCGAAACCTAGAAGTTTGGAAATTATAAAAACCCGAAAACATAAGAATGCAAAACCTAGAAATTCATCCTAAACCCGGACCTTCAAGCTATAAACCTAGAAATTCAAGTGTACGCCGCAGAATTTGGTGGATAAAACCCCAAAAAACTAATTAAAACCTCAAAATCAGAAATTGAAGTGAACAAACTCATGCCAATCGAACCAAAACCTAGAAAAATCAAGTAACGAAATGAAATTACAAACCCGAGATGAAGAACACGAAGAACATTCAACCCATAAACCCATAAAACCTAGAAACTTAAAGCAACTCGTCTCCTCTAAAACCTTTCAATTTTTTTTTCAAACCAGAATTTTCTCCCCCAATTTCCTTCTCTTAAACGTGGAATTCGACCCCTTTTATAAGCACTCGTTCATTCAAGTTTCACTCCAACTCACCTATCTTAAAATTTGGAATTTTTTTCCATCCAATTAGAACTCAAACTCCCTTTGAATTTGATTAGCTAAACAACCGGGATAGATTTAATTCAAAAAATGGTTAAAGGATTGGTATAAACTTCAATCGAATTTTGACCCCTTTCTTTCTTTATATATATATATATATATACTTTTTACTCATTTTTTTCAACTAAAATAAATAAGAAAAAAGAAAGTGATTTTTTTTTTTTTGGTTATGACAGATACCATAAAGAAACTAAGAATTGATTAGTAAGGCTATCATACCAACTCTATATTGCAGTAAATTCTTTAAATACAGTTTCAAAGATTAAGTTTTAGTTACAATAAGTTACGAGATAAAGTTTTAGTTATAGTAAGTTATTAAAATATGTATGGTAGCTAACTCTTATCTTGATATATACGATAATTAATTCTTATCCTTATCCGTAGCTTGGTAACAATTGTTTTCTTCTGCTGGTTTTTTTTTTTTTTTTAATGTTAGAAAACCTATTTTACATTGAAGAAATAAACAATAAATGAGTAATATATAAAATTGAGAATGAACCACCTACCATAAGTCTTTAACTTTTTAAAATGAAATCCTCAACTATGTAGCTAAATAGCACAACACATGTTTGTCTCAACTATATAATTTTGTTAACTACCAACTGCTAAGCTGTTTTCTTATATATTAAACCATCGTCTAACTTTGTACCAAACACAAACGGGAGCATCTAATACTCTAGGAGACATGAGAATAATTAAATTTTGATTATTCCAAAAGAAAAAAGCAAACTAGTAATTATAAACTTTCGACTTTTTAGTTTGTTTGCTTGTTTGTTTCAAAAGCAAGAAAGCGAATCATGATAGCAAGCTGCAAAATCTATGATTTTCCCCTTGTTTGGATAATTCCTCTTGGGAGGAAAGAAAAGAGAGGAAAGAAAGTGAGAGGAAAGAAAAGGGAAAGGAAAGAAAATCATTTTTCACTTATTGTTTGGATAAGAGTGGAAAGAAAAGGAAAAAAAAAAAATTTCCCTTGTTTGGATAATTGTAAAAAAAAAAAAAGAAAAAGAAAATATATTATTGTATATTTACTATAATACCCTTAGGATTATATTTTTATATTTAAATACTTATAATAAATTTGTGACCACCTTTGATCTTCAATAGTAAGCACCTAGTAAACATAATGTTAAACGAAAAATATCTCTCATGCTAAAATGATTACCATAAACCTAGTTCATATATTTTTCATTTAAAAAAAAACATGACAAAATAATTAAAATATGCATAGTTTATGATATAATAAATCAATTTTATATTAATAGAAGTTGTTTTATTCCCTATAGATATTGATGTCTCAAAAACTACGAATAAACTTCTTACACATTCAAGCATTCCAATCAAATGGTTTTAACTCTAAGTCAAGGAGCGTCGTGAACAATATTGATAATTAATCATGTTCAAGCCATGAATTTACAAATGCGACCCTATGAAAGGAACAAAAACCTAGCCCGGGAAACCAAATAAACGAGACTCCATGGAAGTCTATATGCATGATATCGTTGCAAAAAGTAGGACACTTATACGCGAAGCATAGGCTTGATCCAGTTATAGTATTCCTTTAACCTATTTTAGTGGAATAGTTAAAAAAAAAAACAAATAGTTGTGATGTGATGTACTCGGAAACACTATTTCAACTGCATGAAACGACATCCTTTAGATTTCTCAACAAAAAAATATGTTGAACACTTATTAATGGATGAGATCTTGCCATTTCAAATTCTCTTTTTGAAAAAAAAAAAATCCTTCAACTAATTTATATGTAAAATCAGTTGATTGTGATTAACATAAATCATCTTTAATATTTTTAAAATTTAAATATTTCGTATTGGAATTAAAAGGTCATCTCGCTTGCTAGATTGTTACAAGCAAAAGATCTAAAATTTGAAGAGACTCGTTGTAATGTTCCCGAAAGTGTACTTCGCTCAAAGGTTTCAAATCCTATAGAACATACGTGAGTATTGATTTTCTAGTGAATTCCGTCATTCTTGCATTTATCACCTATTTCGAATCACATCATAAATGAAAAAATTATAAATTACTCCTTTTTTTTTTAAGAAAAAAATTATTGAGTTTTTTTAAAAAATTAATTGCTTAGTGTTTTATGGATGTTAATTATCCTTAATTTTATATTATTTTATTTTGATTTTTTTATTCTCATTAATTTTTTTCATAACATTTATTTATTTATTTTTCCTTTTTAATAGAAAAACAATAAATATAAAAAATATAAAATAGAAAAAAATAATTTAATAATTTTTAAAATAAAAATAACTAATTAATTTGTTTCTCGAAACTTTACAGAACAATGTATAATTTATTCCTACACAAAATTGCACTTAGTTTTGGTTTATTAAAAGCTTATCTAAAAATATTTCTTAATTAATTTAAAGAAAAAGGGAGAAAAGAACAATTGAAATAAACTCCGAGCTCGATGACTTCTTGTTGTTGGAGGCGGACCACAATAATATCGTCTAACGTAGCTTTCAGCATCCAATATTTCTTAATATGGTCCTCTTTACCGATATCGATGCTACACTAATCCATTGTAGCCCGTGGTATGGGAGGAAAATTAGGATTTATTTTTATTTTTTTCTTGTCACATGGATGGGGCAAGAGCAAAAACAAGAAAGCAAAAAAAAAAAAAAAAAGGTCAGCTTTAGGTTTCCTTCCAGTTTCCTCTCAAATTTAAGAGGAAAATGGGTCCCATGGAAAAAACATTTATTTATTTATTTTTTCTTTCCTCTGGTTTCCTCTACAATCCAAATGGAAGAAAACTTTCATTTCTACCCCCATTTTTTTCCCTCTCCATCGCTTTCATCTTTATCCAAACAGGAGGTTTGTGAAAGATAAGGTTAGCTAGCATTGATCAGTTTGTGTGTACAATAAAAGTACTACTTTCTACGCTTTAATAAATGTAATACATTATTTTAAGTTCTAAAAAAAAAAAACTGGCATAAAATTAATTTTAATTTATTTATTTTATACGGATTCAAGTTCTTAAGCTAATTAAAAAGAAACAGGTAGAAACAGTGCTGAAATATTAATTTATATACCTCTGAACATATAATTTTTTTTATATATTTATTTATTTTTATTGAAGTACAACGTGTATAACTATTACAATATTGTTTACGTAAATTACGTTTATAAAAAGTATTATTCAATTACTTAGAAAGAAAGAAAGGTACGAGTCTGAAATCTTTTTGGCACGGGACGACTTGAAATCTGAATTTAATAATCACAACTCAAAATAAAAATAAAAGGAGAAGAGAATAAATCATATCTTTATTTTATTCTTGTGGAAGGGGGAAAAAAACCTTGACCTTTATTTTATTCTCATAATAGTTTTGGCTTTATAAACTAAACAAGCAAAGCACTCATACCAATTGATTGAATATAGAGGACTCTCAGATGGCTTAATTAATTATCAAAAAGTAAAGGTAGCTAGCTGGCTAGCTAGGTTTTTTCTTCAAAAACAAGTAATCGACGAAGAGGTAGCTAGCTAGAGGAGCATGTCGATTACTGACATTCCTGAAAGGTACATAGTTTTTATCAATTTCCTAATTCTGTGGTTGGATGAGTACTTAATTACATTATTTTAAATATAGAGATCAGCTAGCACTGCGTTCTGCTTCAGAAAAGGAGTCACCTTATGGAGCAGCCATGAGTGGAGATTGGAAAAGGATGATTAAACACTACATGTCGAATGCCTCAGATTTGCTCGTTCCAATTACAGTCTTTATGAATACTGCACTTCATATAGCAGCAAAAAGGAGCAACCACTTAAAGATATACTTGATATTTTATCCTGTAACGAACAAGATAATCTTTGAGGCGTGAAAACAAGTATGGAAATACGGTTCTTCACGAGGCAACCATCTATCGGAATTTTGAGGCAGTAAAACTATCGGTGCAACGTTGTCCAGACCTAGTTTCCATTAGGAATGATAGCGGTGAAACCCCATTGTTTAAAGCTGCTGAATTTGCTGAGGCAGAAATGGTGAAGTTCTTGCTTCAGTTACCAACAAAAAATATGGTGGATGATGATGGCTGCATAGAATCAATTCACCGCCAAAGATCATCAGATCATCTCTCCAATATCCTTAGCGCTGCTATCCTAGGGCAACGCTATGGTAATAATTTCTCTCTTTACTTCTCAAATTAAAAAATAGCAAAAAATGTATAATTTTTGCATGAATTGTATTGATGGATCCGTAGATTGTTTTTTTCTTATTATTAATTTTAATGATAAGCAATGAGTTTAGATTAAAAGCCAGCAAGAAAGTGGCAGGAAAATAATACAAACAAAGTTACAAATATTAAAAAGATTTTTATAAACATCACATGTTTATATAGAGGATTAAAAAATAAAATAAAACACAATCAGGAAATATTGTCTGCTTAATTGATTCTTTGTTCATTAGTATTAGCTCCATCATATTCTCTAATAAATATTGCAGAAACAGCTTTGATGTTGCTAGAACTGGATGAATCGCTCCACAGCTTGAAGGACAAACACGGCATAACTGCTCTTCAACTTCTAGCTCTCACCCCATCTGCTTTTAAGAGTGGATATCCCATGACTATACATGAAAGACTCCACTACTGTTGTGCGTATACACCAACCGCTCGTTAGTAAATTAAACCTTAGAATATTGCCTACATATATATAATTTGAATTCTAAACTATTTAATTCACTAACTTGGATGCACTAAATTATGCTTCAGGCCTTCCTGTTACACGTCGCCACAAGGTAAATAAATTGCAGGAAGAAACTTCGGGGTTGGGAGATCTGGAGAGCGGTTTGGGGAGGAAAGTCCTTATTACAGGTATCGGACACTATTGAGTTGATCTTTTTCTTTTCGATATAATAAAGGAGTTGATTTTTTTTCTTCAATTCTATGAAAGGGAGTAAACAAAAAGAAGCTATTTGTTGGCGAGTGCTAGATAATGAAAGCAATGCACAATAGCCTCTTCGTGAGCTTAATAGTAGCCACAGAGGGAATGGGATTAATCTAATCACCACAGCAAAGAGGAAGATCTAACTTGACCACCTCTTCTATGAGGTGTAGACAAATTCAATTTTTAGTCCATAACGTGGGATATATTTTTTAATATTCTTCCTCACTTGCGGTTCATTTTTTAAGTATATTAGGCTCCAATATCTTTGTTGATCATGTTAGGATTCTTTGATACCATATAAAATTAGATAGTTAAAATTGAGTTCTATCTAAAAAGCTTAAACTTGATGGTGGGTTACTCCTTTTTAACTTTATATATTAATCATATTTAGTTAAAAAATTTAATGTGAGATATTTTTTCTAATATAAAAAATACTAAGAAAGTAGATAAAATATAGTATGTTACTTCCTTTTCTTCTAGGGTATCTTTTTTTATATTAATGTTAGTAGGATATCTTTGGATATGTTTTTTAATACTGCCAAATTATAAATACAGAAGCGCATTGCATGCATTATTATTCAGAGTTGTTTTCAAACACAATGAAAGTATAGTTTTTGGATTGAAATTAGCAATGCATAGTTGATATTTTTAAATTTCCAACCACAAGCAAAAAAGTGTCATTTGTGTTAATTTTTTTTTTTTAAGAAAAACAAAGAAAGAAAGAGAGAGGCTTCTAACCTTTTTGCGGCACCAATTTAAATTTCAAAGCAAGATTCATCGCGAACTTTTCTGTGGGGTTAAAGCAATGTAGTTTCAAATTTTAAAAATTAAACTGTCCACCATGAGAAATCCAAGAGAATCATTCAGCTGCATTGTTGTCGGCAACACCTCTGCTTTCTTTCTTCCCTTTTCTTTTGAATACGGAAAGTCCCCTCCAATATTCCCAAAACAAAAATATACTCCCTTGCTTTGCTTATGGTAGACTGAAATCAAATAAAACGGTGTTCATAGGACAATCATTCCAGTACTCATCAGCTAGACTTTATTCTTTACTTATTGTTGAATTAATGAGCATTTACGATTCTTACAGCGAGTTTCTGTAAAGATTTGACTAGAACAGGTCCCCAAAACTATTTAATTAACTAAATTGGGTTTGAGAATGATGATAGTACTAAAGATTTGACTAGTATTTATTTATTTTCACTCTCTCTTGTGTTTATTTCTCTCCTGGTGGAGTGAATATTAATGATCATTCTTGAAGTATAAATATCTTATATTGAAGAATGCTGTAAATCATATAAATGATTTTAAAATAAAAAAATTTGAAGTCAAAAAAATTTTTACTAGAAGAAATATGTTAAAGAATAACATGAATTATGTTTGAAGGGTCACTAAATAGCTGTCAAAAGATTATCGCATCCGAAAGCTTAAGCTATTAGGTGAAGTCCTAGGATATGATTTCTATTATTCTTTAACACATCTTCTTAAGTGAAAACCATTTGATCTTGAAACTTACACGTACTCACGTTAACTTGTGCTTAATTAATTAGAAGAGAAAGTGGAGGGTGATAGGATTCGAACTCGCGACCGTTTGATCATCAAGACTCTAATACCATATCAAATGATCATCTCATCCAAAAGCTTAAGCTTAGGGAGAGAGATACACATAAAGAGAGAGAGAGAGAAATAAGAGAGAGAATTTTTTTAAAAATTGAGCAAACATGAAATTTTTTTAATCTCTTTTGGAGGGTCCAAATGTATTTTATATATATATTTTTATCTCTCTTATCAAAACGGATTCATGGAATAACTATTATACATACTATTATTTATTTATTGAGTATTATAAATTTTTTCATTAAACCATCCTATAACTTTGTCCGAAAAACAAACGAGAACATCTAATATTTTGGAGGCATGAGAACAAGTAAACTTTGATTATTTCAAAAGATAAAAGCAAACTAGTAATTATAAACTTTCGACTTTTTTGTTTGTTTGTTTCTTTCAAAAGCAAGAATCTGAATCACGATAGCAGTTGTTTGTTTGTTTATTTCAAAAGCGAGAATGTGAATCACGATAGCCGGCCGCAGAATACACGATTTTGTGAAAGATAAGGTTAGCTAGCAATGACATTGTATATATATTTCTTTCCTAATAACCTCTCTTAATTAGTTCATTTTGCAAGGATTCAGGTTCTCGAGCAAAAAAGAAACAGGTAGAAACAGTACCATACAGATCACTTTCTTAGACTATAATATTAATTTATATGAAAAAAATTGTATATTTATTTGTTTATTTATTGAAGTACAATGTGTATAACTATTATATTATTTACGTAAATTACGTTTATAAAAAGTAATATTCAATTACTTAAAAAGAAAGAAAGTTACGAGTCTGTAACTATTACATTGTTTACGTAAAGTAATATTCAATTACTTAAAAGGAAAGAAAGGCACGAGTCTATAACTATTACATTGTTTACGTAAATTACATTTATAAAAAGTAATATGCAATTACTTAAAAAGAAAGAAAGGTACGAGTCTGAAATCTTTTTGGTATGGGACAGTTTGAAATCTGAATTTAATAATCACAACTCAAAATAAAAATAAAAGAATAAAAAATATCTTTATTTTATTCTTATAAATGAAAAAAATAAAAATAAAAACAAACCTTTACCTTTATTTTATCCTCATAATAGTTTCCCTTTATAAACTAAACAAGCAAAGCACAGATACCAATGGACTGTGTATATATGATTGCCAAATGGCTTAATTAATTATCAAAAACTATAAGCAAGGTAGGTAGGTAGCTAGCTAGGTTTTCTCCAAAAACAAGTTGTTGTTGGCGGGCATCGAATCGACGACGAGGTAGCTAGCTAGAGGAGCATTTGGATTACTTCCATTAGTGAAAGGTACAGTTTTTTTTTTTTTTTTTAATTTCCTAATTTTATTTTTAGATAAGTACTTACCTACATTATTTTAAATACAGAGAGAGATCAGCTGGCTATGGATTCTAAATCAAAAAGGAACTCACCTTATGGAGCAGCCACCAGTGGAGATTGGGAAAGCATGATTGAACACTATGAATCGAATGCCCCAGATTTGCTCGCTCCATTTACGTTCTCTAGGGATACTGCACTTCATATAGCAGTGTGCAGCAAAAAAGAGCAACCACTTAAAGCTTTACTTCATATTTTATGCACTACTACTGCTATTACCATTGCTAGACAAAAAGATCTCTTGAGAAGTCAAAACAGTCATGGAAATACGGTTCTTCACCATGCAACCATCTATGGAAATTTTGAGGCAGTAAAACTATTGGTGGAAAGTTATCCAGACCTAGTTTCCATTACAAATAATTCCGGTGAAACCCCATTGTTTACAGCTGCTGAATTTGCTGACGCAGATATAGTGAGGCTCTTGCTTGAGTCACTATCAGGACAAACAGTGGATCATCGTCTCCGCTGCCTACCTTCAATTCACCGCCAACGATCAGTTGATCGACTCTCCATCCTCAGCGCTGCCATCTTAGGGCAACACTTTGGTAATAATTTCTCTCTATAATTCTAAAATTAAAAAATATCAAAAATGTATAATTTTTGCATGGATTGTATTGATGGATTCATAGATTCTTATACATATGATATGTTTATATAGAGAATATAACGAAAACAAATCAAAATAGAATACAATCAGAAAATATATGAATTTCCGTAATATTATCGACTTAATCGATTCTTTATTCCCTAGTATTAACTTCATTATCTTCTCTAATAAATATTGCAGAAACAGCTTTGGTGTTGCTAAAAGTGGATAAATCACTCCACATCTTGGAGGACGATAAGGGCATAACTGCTCTTCAACTTCTAGCCCACATCCCATCTGCTTTTAAGAGTGGATATCCCATGGAAATACAAGAAAGACTCATCTACTGTTGTATGTATATATACACCAACAATACTGTGAAGCAATATTGCCTACATAGATATTGCTCGTTAATATATATAATTTGGACTCTAAACTATTAAATTAATTAACTTGTATGCACTAAATTATGCTACAGGCCTTCCTGTTACAATTCGCCTCAAGGTAAAAAAATTGCAGGAAGAAGCTTTGGGCCACGCAAGGCAGGCAGAGCCGACAGATCTGGAGAGCGGTTTGGGGAGGAACCGAAGAGGCGGTCCACTCAACTATTTAAATGTCCGTATTAAAGGTATTAAGCCTTGGTTCTTTTGGTGTATTATAAAGCTATATCGTGGCCAGATCAACTCCTCCTGAAATAATTCATTCATGTTGGAACCAAGGAATCATAAGAATTTATGTTCACGCCATATATTTCCCATTTGCAGCTGCAGCGTCAAAAATGACGAGCACTCTATCAAGTTGCAAACTTTTTGCTCAAGGTACTGTTTCTCAAACCCCATCCTTCTCTGTATATGTTTATTTTTCTAGTGACTTTTGTTAGAACTCAAGTCTAGAAATTGTATAATGTATGTCATACGCCAAATTTTTTTCCACTTTTAGTTATTTTCCATTTATTCCAGTCTTTACTTTGATATTCTGTTTTCTTTTATTTTTATTTTTGTTTATTTTAGTTCATGATTGTTTTATTTCAAAATTTTTTTGTTTATTAATTAATATTAATCAATACAAGAAAAAAAACAAAACAAAATACCAAAAAACAGAAATAGAGGGACAAATCCCTTCCTATCTCTGTGCTATTTTTCCTACTCTAGCATCAACTTGCTAAGTCCCTTTCGCAGCCCCTGAATTAGCTCCTGTACAATCCCCAGCTGCACAATCCTCCTCCACTTGCAGCACCTCAACTTGCAACTCCTGAATTCCCTCCTGGACAAACCCTTTCACCCCTGCTACACAGCCAACCTAGGACCTGCCCAGCACCCCCCACTGCTGCAATTTGCAGCCCACAACCTCTCCCCCAGGTCAACAATTGCCAAAGCCCACAACCTCACCCTGCACAGTTCCAAGTTGCTCTGCATAGCCTCTCTCCCAAGTCAACAATTTCAGCCTCCTTACTGCCACAATCCCCTCCACCTGCAGCCTCAACCTACAGCCACCCTACTACTGCAAATTCCAGCAGCTTCTCTCTCCAAGTCAATCTCCAGCAACCCCTACTCCTGCAAACTTCCTGCAGCCACCCTACTGCCAGCACATCCTGCAGCATCTCCTGAACATCCACTCCTCACTCTAAACCTATTGCAGTCACACTACTTCCACAGCCCACAACCACACTTCCATCAACCTCCCCACTCCATATCCTGCAATAAAATCCCTCACATCATGGTGGGGGAACCAAGCAAGCATTTTCATGCATATATATACGCAATTCACAGCACAGTTAGAGAGAGTCTAGAGAGATTAGGAGTTCAAAAATTGAAAGGAAAAACAAAAAACCTAAACTGGACAGTAGCAAAAAAAGAAGAAAAAGAGAGAGAGAGAGATAATTTACCTGTTAAAGCAGCAGCACTTCTCCATCATTATCCTCAACCCGAATCCAGTGAGGTAGTCCACACTTTTTATCCTTTTCAATGTAATTCTGACAGTTAGGTTCTTTTGGAATTTACGGATTTTTTATTTTGAATTGAAATTGAGGTTGGGGAATTGAAAGGAGGGCTAATGAAAGTTAGGCAGGGTTTTAATTTGCGGTTAAACCCCAAATTGAAGCCGAATTAACCTCAATTCAAACCTAGGGTTACTGAAAATTTTTCAAAAAAATTGAAGTAGGGGGTTTTTCAAAAATTGAGTCCTAAAGGGGTTCAATTGACTGGATTTCAAGAGAAATCAAGTCAATTAGACCAATTGAAAGGAAATTTTGAATAATTGAAAAATTAGGGTTCGGCCAAAATTGGGGAAGAATTTTGAGAAATTGATTTGGGCAGTTTTTGATTGGAGAAGGAAGAGAAAGAAGGGAAGAGAAAAGAAGAAAAGAAATGGAGGAGCATGGACGAACCCGTTCTGGTTCATCCATGGCAGGTTCCGAAGGAGTGACAAAGAAAGAAGAAGAAAAAAGAGAAGTGGAGAGGAAAAGAGAGAAGGACGAACCTGGTTCCTCCATGGTGAGAGAGAGATTCGGAAGTGAGAAAGGAAGGGAAAAAAAAAAAAAAAAGGAGGGGGCAGAGAAAGAGATGATTCGGCAGTGATTCAGGAAGAAGAAGAAGAAGAAGAAAAGAAAGATGAGAGAGAGAGAGAGAGAGAGGACGGCTAAGAAGAGAGGAAAATTGGAAAAACAAAACATGGGTGTGGATCCAAAATCTTTTAAAAATGGGAGTTGGGTTGTGTTTTTGGGTTTGGATGTTTAAGTGATGTGGGTTGGGCTATATGTAAGTGGGCTGGACTGAAATTCCAGCCCAGTTCGAAAAGAAAAACGAAAACAAAGAAAGAAAAAAATTTGGACTGGACTGTTCAACCCTTAAAAAAAAAAAACAAAAAGCGTCTTAGTTTTAAATTTTAAATTTATTTGTATGCATGTTTGTTATTTCATATTTAATTTAAATGTTGAATTGTCTTTAACTATTTTATTTAATATAATTTTAATTTTGAATTTATTTTGTGCATGTTTGTTAGTTTATATTAATTTAGAATTTAATAGTTTAATTTTCTGTAATTATTTTAATTAATGTAATTTTAACCTTGAATTTATTTTATGCATACTTGTTATTAATTTCGATTTCAGTATTTAATTTTTTTTTAATTTACTTAATTAATGTAGCTTTAATTTATTTGTATAGTAATTAGATTCGGTAATTAATAAGTGAAGGATTGTCAAATATCATAATTCTTTAGGGATTAATGATGAATTTTCACCAAATAAAAAAAAAGAAAGAAAAAATAAAAACAAAATGAAAGAAAAAAATGAAAAAATAATAAAATTTTTAACAAAGTTTCCTATATGATAGGAACTATTGTTAGTAAAAAAAAAAAAATTAGTAATTTAGGTGTTCTCCGACATACCGGTTGTGTCGAACTCAAAAAATGGATTCGATATTTGAACCGACGTGTCTCTCGACGAAGGGGTCCGATGATCGTTTCAATACGATACCATGCTAAAAAATAACAAACTTAATTTGACTTGAAAAATTAGAGTTTCAAAAATCAAAAAATAATTTGACATGAATAAAATACTTTAGGAGATGAATTTATGACTAAACTAGATGTGATACATTTTTTAGGAAATGACGCTTTTGGGTAATTAAATATCTTCCCCAAAACGTAACCAACTCCTTGTCAAAGAATCTTTGAACTAGTGCTCATTTTAGGTTCTAGTTCGTTCAATAGTAAGTGACGACTTCAAACTTGTAAATAATTCCGTAAATAATGAATCTTGATATTTTTTTCGAGAGTTCCGTTCAACTTCGAGTATTGACAATTTAGACTAAGAAGTATGATGATTTGAGTCAAGATAGAAACACCTTTTGTTTTAGTCCTCTCCATGCAGTGTTATTGAGTTAGCATAATACTCGTTAGAAGAGTTTTATCTAATAGTTTAAGCATTTAAATTGAGATAGTTATTTGACATTGTAGCCATTCTTCTAGTTAACTTAAATTTTTAATACAGAATAATGATGAGTTTGCAAGTTTAAAATTTAAAAGACATTAACTTTAGAAGATGTGTTAGTGAGTTAATATAAAACTATTCTTAAAACTTCACTTAATAGTTCACAATTTTGGATTGGATAATTCTTTGATGTGCATAATCCTTATGCTTGATTTGGGTTGAATAATTTTTTGACATGCATAATCCTTATGCTTGATGTAATCAACCTAAAAATATTAGCACCATTGACGAGTATAGATGAAATCTAATAAAATAGTATTAAAAAACATATTTCACACTGAATTGATAAACAAAATATGAGTAATATATAAAATTGAAAAGAAACCATCCACTATAAAATTTAAATCTTTTGGATAAAACTCAATCTCAACTACTAGCTTAGCATTCCTCGCCACATTGAATCTAGCATGTCTCCATTTTGTTTCTCCTTCTACTACCGTTATTAATATTTCTTGCTATTTCATAAAAAATGGCTAGCTCTCATCCATGTTTGATTTCATTCTCTTTCGCCCATAAACATGAATAGGATATTGGCCAGCATGGCTGCAAAGAATCTGGAACGAGAAAAGAAAGCATGTATTTGCTTTGAAACTCGCCAAAATCCTAATAAAGAATGATTTTTCAAGGAATTCATTTGAAGGAGGCTGCCCAGGATTGGCAAATACTAGTTTAATCACATCACAATTTATAACTTTCAATGAGATTGATCAACATCCTCAGGCTAGTAAGGAGGATTCTTCTTCGTATGGCATTATTAGTCCATTGGATATTGAGAGTGAACAACATCCTCAGGCTAGTAAGAAGGAATCTTCTCCATATGACATTATTAGTCCAATGGATATTGAGAGTGAACAACATCCTCAGGCTGGTAAGGAGGAGAACTCATTGCCTAAAGCATCAAAAAATGAGAGCGAACAAAGTGATCAAGAAATTATTTTCAAAGTCAAAGGAATAGAAGTAGTCCAATGTCGACGAGCACAAACTTCTGCGACAAACCCATTGTCAGCCAGAAAGGAGGAGAAACCATTGTTTACTGCAATTAGAAATGGAATAGAAGAGATTGTGAGGGAGATAATGGAACATAATCCTCAGGATATTGAGCACCTCAATCACATGGGGCAGAGCATTTTGGATGTGGCCGTCATCCATCGCAAGAAAGAGATCTTCAGTTTTATAAAGCAAAAGAAAATCGTATTGGCTAGACTGCGTCTAGTTAGTGATACGAAAGGCAACACATTGTTGCACCATGTTGCAGATATGGAGCATTACAGTGGAGGAACCAAACCTGGGCCTGCACTTCAACTTCAGGAAGAGTTACAATGGTTCGAGGCGAGCCCTTCTCATCCCTTTAACTGAAAATTATAATATTATTCTAAAGCATTTCGACTTCATCCTTTAACTGAAAATTACAATAATATTCTAAACCTGGGTCTGCACTTCAACTTTTTCAGTCTAGAAACAATAAAGAGTCTCCCCATTTCGACTTCTTTTTTTGCTTTTTTGTTTTTTCGGTAAATAGAACAGATATTTTTGTTAAAAGGATTACAGCAAATCTTCCAAGTTGTTGATTTTGCCCCTTTTTCCTATTATAAATCAAGCTCTTCAAAATGGAAATTTAAATAAGAAATAATTTAATTTTCCAACTTTTTATATAAGAAATCAAGGTCTTGTGTGGACCAATTAAAACAGAAATTTAAAGAGGAAACAATTATACTTTTTACACAACCAATCAAAACTATTTTAATGATGGGCATAGTGAAAATACAACTGAACCCAACCTCTTTTTTGTCCTTATAAGAATTTTAACACCAAAAATATATAGTTAAAATTAGGTTTCATCCAGAAAAATTTAAGTGTTATGATAAGTGATTCTTTCTCAGTTATACATTAATCACGTATTATTTATTTATTCAATGTATAATATGTTCTTTAAGACTATGATAGCTATTATATATTTTTCTCCAATTATTGCAGCGAGTGCGCAAGGTAATTCCATCCCTTTATGTCACTCTTCGGAACAAGGAAGGCAAGACAGCAGCAGAGCTCTTCAAAACGAACCACGAGGAGCAACTGAAGATGGCACAAAAATGGATTAAGGAAACCACTCAGTCTTGTTCTACTGTAGCTGCACTTGTTGCTACCGTTGTCTTCGCTGCTGCCTATACTGTACCTGGAGGTTCTGACGAAGAAGGAACCCCCAACTTCATCAACTCTCCCTATTTTCTTGTTTTCACCATATCGGATGTTGTCTCCTTAGCAAGCTCCTTGACTTCACTTGTGGTGTTTCTCTCTTTGTTGACCTCTCCATTCGAACTACAAGATTTCCGTGTCTCGCTTCCTCGAAAACTTATCGTTGGCTTCACCTTCCTCTTCTTCTCAGTGATAACCACCATGCTATCTTTTGGGGCAACAATTTTGATACTCATTCAATCAGAGAAAAAATTAACTACACTACTCCTTTCCATTGCTGCATTCCTTCCTGTATTCGTATTTGCAGTACTGCAATTCCGTCTGTACGTGTCATTTATGGGCTCTACATTCAACTTTCACAAGATAACCAAGAAAGCTCTTCCTTCGCGTCTTGTCCGTCGCCTACCAGGGGGAAGAAAGCTCTCCTGAGCTGGTTTCGACCTATCCCATTAATAGTTACATATAGTGTGTTGCAAAATCTATAGTTGTTGTTTTATTTCGAGATATCTATGAGGTTGTATGCTCTTCAATGGCCTTGAAGCCAATACATGTTATATATAGTGTGTATTAGGCTTGTAATAACCCTCCGTTTATTTATATACAAATTAAAATTAAAAAAAAAATTCAAAAATTCAAAAAAAAATTTAAAATGTTGCATAATTTGTCTTTTCATGATTTTTAGATATTTTTATAAATTTTTAGGATTTGAATTTCTAAGAATTATTCTTAATTTTTAGTTAAAAAAGAGAAAAAATAAAAAATAAATAAAAAAAATGATTTAGGGACAACACCCTTCTCTATTCTTAAGTGTTTGGTTAGACAATCATTTTTATTATTCTCTCGTTAGAACATATCCTACATTGAATAGTTAAACTAATAATAAAAAAGTTGAGAAGGGGTCACGTACCATAAAGCTTAAGTCTTTTAGATGAAACTCAATATCAATTATCTAATTTTATATAGTATCGTAGTCTCAAAGAAGCTCAATGGCCTAGCAAAGATCCCTGAGTCCAAGCCACTTGACGATTCCAAAAAATGGACTGCAAATAAAGAGGAGTATTAGAACATATCCCTCATTGAATAGTTAAATCAATAATAAATAATATATAAAGTTGAAAAGGGATCATCCACCATAAGACTTAAGTCTTTTGGATAAAACTCAATCTCAATTATCTAACTTTATATTCTCTATATATACTCAAAGCAGAAGCAATTAATTATTCTTCTTTGAAGCATGAAGCCAAGGGCAAAGTGATTTTGTGAAGTTGACATCCAAAACTACGCTTTAGCTGAGCAAAGTAGTTGTTTAAAATATTAAGTTATATAAAAACAGGAACTAATTCTGAATGGTCCCATCGTACGTACATGTAATATTCCAGCATGTGAGGAGCTGAACGATTAAAGTGGGATTATTCCAAAAGCAAAAAGTGTACAAGTTCCATGTCATGATTCTTTTCTTTTGTTTATTTCAGAGGCAAGACTGTTGTGAATGACGACTGAAACGTCCCCTAATCTTGAAAAAAAATTAATCTAAAAGTTTAAGCTGATGTTAGATTAACTCGGTAACAGTCAACAAAATGAAACTAATAAATGATTGACATGTATCAATTTCTAATAAAAAAAATATAAATGATTTTATATAAATGGAGAAAAATTTAATATGTTTTTTTTTTAAAAAAAAAAAATACCAATCTTCAATATAATAATTGTAACTTTGTGCTATATACATGGTATTGGAGGTGCTTTAATAAACCATGCACAATAAACTGATGTATAATAATTGTAACTTTGTAACTTTTTTATTTTTTTCTCATAACTGGCTGTCTCTTCCTCTTTTATTTATTTATTTATTATTATGTGTATACCTAATATTTATAGAAGTTCTTTTAGGTTTACCCTAGAATTTTTTCTATTTTAGTTTTTCCTCTTTTATTACTAATCAAGCCTAAACCGAATACCTAATCCAAGCCCATTCCTTTTTCTTTTTTTTTTCCAATCCTTATTTAGGTCCAATTCCACCTGTCTTCTTCTTCTTTTGTGCATTTTTTTATAGGGTAAAAATAAAGTGATGACAACTATAATAGCACGGCTTCGTGTATATATATATTACTTTTTTTTTTTTATCAAACTTTATTTTTTTGTCAAACTTTATTTTGCTATGAATTCAAGGTTGATCTACCCTACTTTCCTCTCCTTCTCTTTATCTTTAATCGTACCCTCATAACGTGGGTTAACTAAGAAGTCTATGGTCTAAAATAGTGTTTCTATGCTAAAGTTGAAAATGATTTTGTATTCTTAAAATTGGATATAAATAATAAACGATTATGCTTCTAGAAAACAGAAGTAATTATACTGCTTGTCGAACAATGTAGCAATTGTTTAAAGTTGTATTTTAGTAATTGTAACCACGAAAAAAGAAGAGAATTGTATATCACGATTATAACTTTCAAGCATGAACAGTTGAACAGATTCCAAAAACAAAAAAGAGAGAACAAGTTTACTTTCATCTTTTCTTCTTTTTGCTTCTTACTACCGAAGCAAGAATATTTATGTATCGTGCATCACGATTATAACTTACTCACGCTCAAGCTGCAATATTAAAAAAAAAATTTAATTTAAAAAAATTAAATTATTGAGTGTGATTTTAAAAATAATTTTATTATGACAAAATGAGTTTGTTGATTGTTTAGTTATCATAACTTTGATATTATGTCAAAAAACTATTTTAACCCTAAAAATTTCAGTTATTGAGTAAGATTTTAAAAAATAGTTTTAAATTACTCTCTAATAGCTATCAACGATCGCTCTCTAACAACTAACAATGATTAGTTGTATGTATAATAATAAAAGTAAATATACATGTAAGTCATTATATATTACTCAAAGTCTCTCATCTGTCCCTAAATTTGTAATTGCATAATATTTATTTTTGAAAGTGTTTCAAATATTCAATATATTCTTATAATTAATTTTCTGACCATATAACAAAATTTTAACCGAAATGCCTCTGATTGAAATGAAAAAAAAAAAAAAAACTAAAAACTTCAAAAATAGAACATGCATGTGACTTTAAATATTTTTGTTTTTATTTTTATATAATTTTTTTTTGTATTTTTGTAAAGGGCATTCCAATCAAGAAAAATTATTCATGGTCGGAATGACAAATTAAATATTTCAAAAACTTTCAAAAAAAGATGGATTGCAATTGAAAATTTAAAGATAAATAGAAGACTTTGAGTATTATATAAAGATAAATTAATATATTTATCCCAATAATAGTTTTGCTTTCTACGTCCAGTTTGGCAATGTAATTTTTTTTTAAAAGTATGGAAAAAAATTTTGACCGTATCCTAATTTATTTATGAGTAGTACCAGCTTGAATACAATACTGAAATATATATTTATTAAACTGAAGTAGCAATCTCAGCCCTTTATAAGCTTATAACACAACAATATTCTCTTCTCTATTTCCATCCGCTACGTAATATTAATTTGTAAGTTTTACATTAAATTAATATATCATATCATTATCGATTTTCATTAAAAAAAAATAAAACCTTTATTTTATTACTATAAAAACGGAAACTTCCTCTTCAAAAAGAGGGAAAACTCTATTGCTAGTTAAGCTATAATTTATTGACAAAAAGAACAAACCTCTAGTTCCTTTATTTATTTATTATTATTTTTGAGGTACTGACATCTACTTTTAGCTTATGATTGTTAGAACAAGTATCCTATAGTGAATAATTAAATAAAAAATAATTAACATATAAAGTTAAGAAAAAGCCATATACCATAAGACTTAAATCTTTTGGATGAAACTCAATCTCAACTATATAACTTTATAGTGCTTATTGTTAGTATGAGAGAGCCACATGTCTTGTATATAAATACTTCATTTCTACCCTCACAATGTAGAATATTTAATAAATTAAAATTTTAAATTAAAATAATTTTTTTAATATAATATTACAAGTTTGATTTTGATCATTTTCATTTATTAGAGAATAATATAAATCATATTATGTGGCCATATCTACCACTTAAATTTTTAGGTAAGATGATCCTTTAGCATAGTATCAAAACTTTGATGACCAAACGATTGCGAGCACGCATCCTATTACCTTCACTTTCTTTTCTAATTAATTAAGCACAAGTAACATAGGCCTATGCAAGTTTTAAGTCCAAAAGGCTTTTACCTAAGAAGGTGTGCTAAAGAAAGCTTGGTTTCACTTTATAAACCAAATAAGCAAGTTAGAGATACCATATATGCATGCTACTTTGTCTATAAAAGCACAAGTTCGAATCCTATTATCCTTATTTTCTTTTTTAATTAATTAAGCACAAGGTAGTGTAAGTTTGTACAAGTTTCAAGCCTAAAAGGCTTTCATTTAAGGAGATTAAAGAGATGTGTTAAAAAATAATATAAATCATATCGTAGCCCCTCATCTAAAAGCTTTGTTTCACTTTATAAATTAAATAAGCAAGCTAGAGATACCATATATGCATGCTACTTTGTCTATAAAAGGGATTGTATGTTGCAATTAAGAAAAAAACAAGCTTCTTTCTTTCTTACCATCTCTTCTCCATATTAATTCTCTAGGTGGGCATGAATCTTCGAAGAAATTAAGGAGCATTCAGATTAAGCTGGACTATGAATTGTGATATATAAGAGCAGGATAAAAGCTTCTACAAGGTAAGTAATTTATTTATATAATTAAGCTTTCTATATAGTACTTTACGTTTTGGATATATAAATATACACTTTGACCTTGATATTATTTGGAATGAAGTAAATTATATACTGGCTACCTCTTTAATGATTTAATATCAAATTTCTCTGTAATTACACCAAATTTTACAAATGATCCTTTTAATTTATCTTGAGCTTTTCAGTAGAACATTACAAACATATGAAGTGGGTGTTAGTTTGCTTTATTACTTTTTCAAATAAAAGTCTTCTTCTTCTTCTTAATTCTTCTTCTTTTTGAGGATCTTCTTTCATAGTAGCATTTATATTAAGATTGCTATAGAAATTAAGCTCACCTTTTCTTTTAATATATAGGAAAGCTTCCTTCACGTTGTTCTCAAATTTCGAAATCACACACCATGGAGATGTCAAAATCTCAGGTATGTATCTTCATAGAAGTTTATTTTACAAGAAATGTGATCATGAATTCCTGGAGGTATTTAATACAAGATAGTTAAAATTTGATCATTTCCATCAGTCACCTGTGCACTTGTCCAACTTTGAATAAATCAGGTAAACCACTTAATTGATGTATGCTTTTATAGAAGCTTAATCTGGTTGCTAAGTGAGTATCTTTTCATTGTTATAATCCAGTTTCATTCATTCAAAAAGGCGGTAAGAAAACTGAAGCCCAATCAGAATCTATTGAGTTATCAAAAAGAAATTTGAGAAAGAGCATAAAATATTATATTAGAGCCAATCTAAGGAGATAGAGACTCGAAGTTTTTCTTTCTTTCTTTCTTTTTTTTTTTTTTAAAGAAATGTAATTTCATGTTATAACAGTACTAATCTTGGGAGACGTCTTGCTTTTGCTGGATGACAGCACTAAGGTCTCTAAACTGATATGTCTGCTATTGTATATTACATGTTCTTCTGTGCTCTTTTTCTGCAGTTGGCTCTATTGGCTGGGTATCTCTATATACTCCGGTGATGGTTGATGTCATCAACCACTCTTTTAGCTTGATACATTTCTTTGTATTCTAATTTCTTACTCGATCTTTGTGTTTTGGATGTGTTGCCGTTTTTCCACACCAAATGGGATCCTTATATTGGTGTTTGTTGAAGAATTTTTTCAATTCAAAAATTTAACTGTTAGATAAAATTTTAAGAATGTTTTACATTATTTTTCATACATTTTTCAAGTAAAAATTCTTTTTTCACTTAAAACTTTTACAGTCATATACTGTTGTTGTGTGCTTTATTTTTTTTTTAAAAAAAAACATAATATGAATAATGAGATTTGAATTCGATCATTTTTTTTAATTACAAAAGATTAGAAATTCCAAGTATTCAAAAAAAAAAAAAAAAAATCACAAAAACATTAAAATTGAAAAGTTAGGAAACTAAATATGTGATTAAGTATTCTTAATATATTGCAGATTTTGCAGGAAAGAACTCCACTAATGAAAACGCCGTGCGAAAAAGCCATGCAGGGAAAGTGGGACGAAATGGCAGATTATTTTGTGGAAAACAGACGAGTAAAGTATCCAATAATCGGATATCCAGTTACGATCGCTGAAGATACTGCATTTCACCTAGCAGTTCACAGCAAAAAGGAGAAACCACTTACAGATTTACTTGATGTTCTCAATCAGCAAGATGAAAGTATGGGGCAGAGCAGTAGTCATCAATCCCCTATCGTGCAAAAAAATTCTTATGGAAACACAGTTCTTCACGAGGCTGCTATCAATGGAAATTTTGAAGCTGCAAAGCTCTTGAAGGATAAGTATCCTTGCCTGCTTTCGATTAAAAACGTACTGGGAGAAACCCCATTTTTTACTGCTGCTGCATATGGTAAGACAAAAATAGTGGAGGAGTTATGTTTAGCACAAGGAATTTTGGATGACGAGTTCAGATTTGCAGAAGTTCATCGTCAGAGAAACAATTCCACCACCATCCTACAAGCTACCATCCATGGCACACATTTTGGTCTGTCTACCTCTATTTCTTTATATATGCAAATCAACAGCATTTTAATTAAGACAAATATATTATATTATTCAAAAGACTATTTTACTTAATACATTATCATTTTAATTTTAAAAATTTAAGCTGTTAAGCGAAACTCTATAATCTGATATATTCTCTAAAACTATTAATTTACACCTTGTTTGCTTTTAATACAGAAACAGCTCTCGTGCTGCTAAAATTTGACGAATCGCTTGCAGAGTTAACGGATCGAAGAGGTTTCACAGCCCTTCATTTTCTATCGAGCATGCCCTCAGCATTCAGGAGTGGATATCACATGGGCAAATTGAAAAAACAAATCTACAAATGTACGTGGATGTGTATGTCTGTTTTATATATAATCAGCTTAAATACATTTCAAAATGGGGATCATTCATATTATATACATATTGTCAAAATATATGTGCACCTGAAAAAATTAATATAAAATCATTTACAGCTTAACTTTTTAAGTTAAAATAGTTTCTTCAAATTGTATTTGCCATTTTCTCTATCTTTGACATTCATCTCTCAATCTCAATTCAATATATATATAGGGCTTCCTCTGGAAGACGATGAACACGATGAAAATGCAATGGATGCTATATCATCGCTAGTGGCATTGGGGGATAGTAGCCGTACTCGATGGATCTCCACTTGTTTTAATCCACTCCTTAAAGGTATTGTATAACTTAACCTTTTTATTTATTTATTTAATACAATTAATCCACTTAAGTTATATTATTGTTAGAATACATATCTCATATTAAATAGTTAATTCAAAATATATAATATATAAAGTTATGAACAGATCACCAATCATAAGGTTTAAATATTTTAAATGAAAATCATTTTCAATAATTTAATTCTATACTCAGCTATTGCTAGTGTTTGGCTTCATAAACCTTTAGTTGTTAGACTTTGGAAGTTTCAAAGTATTTTTAATATCATTTTTAATGTGATTTTTTATTTAAAATCAGATACTTTCACCCATGTTATTAGAGAAAGGAAGTCATTAACTAGTTCTTTAGCTAAGTGTTGTCTTCACAGGTCTAATGATATTTTAGCTTGGTTGTAACGTCTAATTGCTAGCTCCTTGCTAGCGTCTTTAATCTAATTGTCGATTTCATCAATAAAAAAAATATCCATCAAATTTTATACTTTTTGTCTTTTATTTGGAATTTTATGCGATAATTAAAGAAGATATTAGTCAGATTAAAAGATTTAAGAGAATAATAATTATGGGTATAACAAGAAAATCAAATGATTAACTATTTGAATTTTTGATAATAAACAATAGTTTTGGGACATCTCAAAATAAATAGGTTTACAATAACTTTGAGACATAATCTTAAAGAACATATCCTACATTGAATAAATAAATAAATAATAAGTAATATATAAAGTTGAGAAGAAGTTACTAATCATAAAATTTAAGTATTTTGAAAGAAATTCAATCTCAATTATTTAATTTTAGATGGTATTAAAGCTTCAAAGAAGCTCAACGGCTCAATGAAACTTCAATCTCAAATATCCAAATAACCAAATTATTAATTATGGGTGTGGGGGGAAAAAAGAGAGAGAAGAGTAGCTCGAGCATGAAACCAATTAGGATCTATCATATGAAGTTGAAGTATTATACGATTTATTTGTTTGTAAATATTTTTCAATTGTTTATTTGTTAGAATTTTGATGACAGACTCATTTTGGTGCAGTGGTCAATCTGTCAATTTGCAGATTTTTTTTGTAAAGGTATGTACCTCATGATTTATTTATTTTATTACTCTAACGGTGTTACATAGGTTCTTTTTAATACATCTGATCTCTTATATTTCATCCATAAATTAACATGAACATATATATAGGATGGCCAAGTATGGAGAACTTCCTGAATAACAAGAAAAAGCATAAATTTGCTTTGAAACTTGCTGAGTTGATAATAAGGAAACAGGTCGTCCACCAGCCCCGACTCGGTATTATAGTGGACTTGTCCTCGGATTTCAATGAACCCTCATCCTATGAACCACCAGAAAATAAGAATGGAGGAAGTAAAGATGTGCACATATCACCAGATGATGAATATGGGCAAGCATCTATGGCACCTCCGGCACTACTTATTGCAACTAGCAATGTAATAGTAGAGATTGTCCAAGAGATCCTTAAGCAGCATCCTCAACATGTTGAGGTCCTTAATGAATTGGGACAGAACATATTGCACATTGCCGTCATGCACCGTCAGAAGAAGATCTACGATGTTATAAAGCATATGATGAAACTACCATTGGCTAGGTTGAACAGATGGATTGACAATAGTGGTTACACAGTGTTGCACCAAGTTGCAAATACCAAACATTACACTGAAGCCACTAAGGCAGGACCTGCTCTCCGACTACAGGATGAGTTGCGATGGTTCAAGGTCAGCTTGCTTCTCTAATCACACTAAGCCAGTACCGCATGTCATAAATAAAACATCGTTTGTTTCTATAGATAGATAGATAGATAGATAGAGATCCTCCGCTTTTCATTAGGCTGATCTACCCATGCTCATTGTAAGCCTGACTTGGGTTTGAACTCCAGTACTGGGGTAGGAAGGTTTTCTAGCTTCTAGATCAAACAGAAAAAGAGTGGAGATGAGAAGTAGGCAAGGGAATATATTGAGAAGTAAACAAAGAGAGAAAAATGACTAAAAATTGTGAGATAAAGATTTTCTTCACAATTAAGTTGTCTGCAGTAAAATTGAAGTGAGAATTTCATCCTGGTGTATTTTAATTTTTTTGGTTAGATATGTTCGAAATTAAACTTGATTTGGCTCAAAGTTTAAAGCCTAAGTCCAAGACCATATCCTAACTCCAAGTCTATAACCCAAAGCTCAAGTTTAGAAAACTCTTCTCTAGATTTTTCTCAAGGTTTCTAGCAAGTCTAAAATTATCTTCTCTAATTTTTTCTCAAGGCAACTAGCAAGTCTAAAAAAATCTTTAACTCCCATCTAATTTCATTAATGATGTAGACTAAATGTATGGCTGGATTTGTTTCCAACTATTATAAATACCCCTCTTGGTATTTGATTCATACAAGAAGTTGAGAAACAAATAATTAACTATAGAGAGCAAATTAGAAAAAAGAGAGTTTCTTTTGTTTGAGTAGTGTGAGTTAGAGTGTGTGGTGAGAGTATTATTTATAAGTGTGAGAGGGATAGAATACTAGAATAATTCAAAGTATACTCTGCACTTGCATGTTTAGTAGATCCTATATATGCATAAAAAATAATCATTCTATATTCAAAGAGTTGTAAGTAGAAACGTGAGGATCTATTGTCCTTAGTAGTGAGTGATTAGTGTGTGTAAAAAATTTTGAGTGAAATATATTCTTGTGCTTTGCCCAGAACACATTTTGTTCATCTTATTACTTAGTCTTTGTCCCAACAAGATAGACCAAATTTTTCTGATGTTTAATGTTCTCGATGCAGCGCATAGAGAAGAGAATTCCCTCTCATTATCTGCAGCACTGTGAATATAAGAAAGACCGGACTGCAAAAAGGATGTTTGAAGAAACGCACAAGGAGCTTCTCAATAATGAACAGCAATGGATTAAGGATACATCTAAGTCTTGTTCAACTGTAGCTGTACTTGTTGCTTCTGTCGTCTTTGCTGCTGCCTATACTGTGCCTGGAGACTATAATACGAAAGGCATTCCGAATTTCCTCAGCAATCGATTTTTCATGGTTTTCACCGTCTTCGATTTTGTCTCCTTAGCAAGCTCTTTGACCTCGCTAGTGATATTCCTCTCCATCCTTACGTCTCCGCTTGAGCTATACGATTTCCATCGATCCCTTCCTGGAAAGGTTATGTTTGGCCTCACCTTACTCTTCTTCTCAGTTTTGACGACAATGGTGACCTTTGGGTCCACCATTGCGATCCTTGTACAGTCGGATAAGAAACGGACAGCAATTCTTATTTCTGTTCCGGCATGTGTTCCCGTCGCCGTATTTGCACTAATGCTGTTGAAATTGTACATTCCTTATCTGAGTGCTGTGAAGGAATGTCTCAAGCCAATCAGGAAGTTTCTTCCTTGGTTTCTTCTCCCTTCTCTACGACGGGAGAAAAAGATCCCTTGAATCCGTTATTTTTCCTTTACTTACTTCATCGAATGAATGCTTGATTGTTAATTTTCATATTTAGGTTGTGATGTACTAGACTGGTATTTGTATGATGTTTGGCCTTCAAGCCTCCATCGATTACTCATGAAATTTGATTTCAGTTTGTTTTGATGGGTGCTTGAGTTTGTTTCTTGTGTTAGATCTACCAAACAAATTATTTCCATATGGTTTGCTTTGTTATTTATTTTAACTATATAGAGCCACATTTACGTACTGACTGATACTTGGGGCTATTTCTATTGCCTCCATCACAGATCCATATAGTCTACAGTTTCAGGCCTATCTCTAAACTAAACGAAAGGCAAATTCGATTAAACTATCTCTAAACTAACTAAAATAAAAATTTAAATTATACTAATTGAATATTATTAGGGAAACATTATCCACATCAAACCAAACTAAATGATCAGAAGACAAAAGAGAATAATACGCAAGTTAGCAACAACAATTAGTTGAATAGCAGATAGAATTTCAGTTAGGCTATTATTCCTAACCCTTAAGTGTTGCAAATCATCTGTTAGTCTTTGTTAATTATCTTATGTTATTCTTATTGTATCTGTCAAATATAAATACAAAAGATATAGTTCTGACATACTCAAAAGAGACGTTTTTGAAGGAGGCAAGGTCTTTTTGGTTTATTGTGTCAAATGATCATCACACCCAAAAGCTTAAGCACAGGCACACACTACTTTATGCTTAATTGATTAGAAGAAAAAGTGAGAATGGTAGGATTCGAACTCGCAACCGTTTAATCATTAAGACTTTGATACCATGTTAAAGGATCATCTCATCTAAAAGCTTAAGTTGTTCGGTAAGACCTAGAATATGATTTATATTATTCTCTAACATACTGATGGTAGTAATCAATATCCCAAGTCTCATATCCTCTCGATAATACTCCCCCACAATCCAAGTCGATTGAAGTTGAATTGGAAAGCTCGCCATGGAGAGAAGACATCTGCAGAAGGAAGTGAAGACATAGGAGAAGACAAATAATTTTTAAAAGAAAAACCAGATTTTCTTTTGCATCCGGCCATGAACATAAAGACTCCATTAGAGAAAGAGAGCATCCATAGATCTTGGGATAGCCCATGAACAGCCCCACCAATATAAGGTTTTAGACCATATCCACCAAATCTCACAGCAATGTAGGAAGTGGAGAGATATAGTCTCATTACAAAAAAGGCAAAAAATGGCTGAGACCTCACTAGCTCAATGCAAAAAAGAAAGTCTCTTATTTGCAATTTACCAAGAGCTTCTGACTAGATGAAAGCTTCTACTTTTGAAGGAGCTAAGGTTTTCCAAACATAATAAACTAAAGGTCACTCACTAGGAAGCAAAATCAAATCTAAGATTGTAGAACAAGACTTAACAGTATACAATTCTTTTGTGTCCTATTTTCAAATCCACTTATCATTAATTTCTTAAACAAATGAATATTTACTTCTTGAACCTCCCAATCATGAAGCTTCCTTCTCTGGCTGAAATTCCAACGCCAACTCATATCATATACTCTCCCACTTCTAAAATCTTGCAATCCTCGTCACTGGCCAACCTGAAAAGTCTTGGAAAAATGTATATTAAAGCTGCTCTACCGACCCTTACATCCTTCTAAAACATGATATTGCTGCAATTGCCAAGATAATGCTAAAACGAAGCCCTTCTTGAATAGGAACACTGCTAGGAGATGAATTTTTGCCCATAAAATATCTTTCCAATAAATACTTCTTAAACCTCCCAATCATGAAGCTTCCTTCTCTAGCTGAGTATACTAAGTAAATATCTTTCCAATAAAAGATAAAAATTACCCATAAAATATAGAATCCCATTCCTATAGATTGGTTTGTATTTCTAGAGGATGAATTTTTGCCAGCCTGAAGAGCTACTATTACTGAGACGACAAATTCACTTGAAAAGTAAAGCCTTGGTTTTCCCTATTAAAGAAGTGAAACTCAATCCGCCTTATCTTTTCAGTCTAGCCACCACCTTGTAAACCTTTTGATTATCTGAATCTCCACCCCATAAGAAATGCTATTGCATAGAAATAACCCCATCTTAGATTAGATCTAGTTTTAGATACGGTGTTCTTTTCCTTCGTTTCAGATCTAGCCACTCCCACCCTCGTGTCTCTCTTTGTCGCTTATGTTCTTAAACTTCTTTCATGTCTTGGCTTTTGTAAGGTTTTTGCCATATCTGTCGTGTTTCGAGTTTTGTCTAGTTTTTTGTTTTTTTGTTTTTTTTTTTTTGGGAAATCAAGATTAGATTACTAAAATTATATTCAGCTCGCGGCTGGCAAAATTACTAAAATATAGAATCAAGTTTTTTGGGTAATAAAAAAAAATTACTAGAGAGATAGAACTAAACAATTACAAGAAGAGAGGACTAAAATCAAGCTATAAATCATTATTTCTACAAAGACTATTCCTTGCTAAAGAATCTGTCACTGCATTCCTTTTTCGAAGAATATGATTGAAAGAAATAGTACCCAAAGATTTAATCATAGTGTTTTGGGTTTTGTCTTATGGTGATCACAATCAGGTGTATTGACGATGAATCAAAGGATTTTGCTTTTTCTCAAATGCTGGTGATGAATTACTACGATTTTTCCTTGTTTTGCGAGATCTAGTGCTTGTTGGCTTAGGAAATGCTTGAAACGATCTATCTACCTCTCACGGATAAAAACACAAACATCTGGTGTGCACACCTCCTAAAGCCACAATCCATTAACATCACCCATCTTCATAGCCTCCAAATACCAAAATCCCAATCAAACACAAATGCCCAATTGCCTCTCAAATCCTAGCCGCTTTATTCATTTAATTCTCTCCCAAAACTAAAACCCTTTTCACCGTTTCTTCTTCAAAATCAACTATTGAAATGGCTTTCCATAAAGATTGGGAGCCTAGTGAGGCAGTCAACTTCCCAACATGGGCAAGCTCCAATGACACTCGTGCTGAACACTGTTCACTGCATATCTTCAGCAAAGCTTTCCATTGGAAGGCTTTCATGGTCACCTGACGATCAAACTCTCAAGGATGTGTCTGCTAACTTTGGGTAAGTGACCGATGCAAGTGTTGTCACTGATAGAGATACTGGGAGGTCTCATGGATCCGGGTTGTTAGTTTCAAAAGAAACAAAAGAAGCAGAGAAGGAGGAGAGGAGGGAAGGTATAATCTTTTAATTTTGTTGAATTGTTTGGTTTAAGAAACGTCTCAATGGTTTGCTTTTGTCAAAAAAAAAAAAAAAAAAAATGGAGACGGGCTGGAGGTCAATGGAATTGATGTATATATGTTTCTTTGTTAATAAAAATGAATGAAAAGGGGTCCAGCCCGTATGTCCAAGGCTGGGCTCACACCCCCCCCCCAAAAAAACCTGGCCTGCTGGCCAGCAGCCCAGGCCCAATGGGGTGAAGATCGATTGATCAATTAAAAAAAAAAAGCATAAGGCCTTAGTTTTATTTTATGTAGATTAATTCTTAATTTTATTTTATGCATTTTTTTCATTTTATGTTTAATTTAAATTTAATGTTTGAATTTCTTTTAGTTTATTTAATAAATATAATTTTGAATTTATTTCAGCAATTAGAATAGGTGGTTAATAGGTTGAAAATTGTCTAATCTCCTAATTTTTAGAGACTAATGATAATCTTTTATTGAAAAATAATAAAAAAATAATTAATTAATTAAAATTCTCAACGAAGTCTCTTATCCGATAGGGAACTCGTCATTTAATCAAAAAATAAAAATAACAAAAATTCTCAACAAAGTCTCATATTTGATAGGGACTGTCGTTTAACCAAAAAATAAAATTTTGTGACGAGGTCTCCTATCCGACAAGGACCGTCGTTATCAAAAATCATCATTTAATAATCAAAATGTTATCCGACACACTCGGTTTGTGTTAAGCTTAAAATGGATCCGATGTTTGAATCGACACGTTATGTTGCTCTACGAAGGGGATCGACGATCGTTTCAATACGATATAACGCCCAAAACTAAAAAACTTAATTTGGCTTTAAAAACTAGAGTTGAAAATTGAAAAATAATTTGGCATAAATAAAATATTTTAGGAGATGAATTTAGGATTAAACTAGACACGGTACCTTTTTTTCGAAAAGGGTACTTTTGAGTGATTAAATATTTTTTCAAAAACCTAACCAACTCCTTATCATAGAATCTCCGAACCGAGTGTTACTTTTAGGTTCCTAGTTTCTTAATATTAGATAGTGACTCCGAACTTGTAAATAATTTTATAAAATAATAATTAACACTTGGATTGTTTTAAGGAGTTTTGTCCAACATCGAGTAGAGACACAAATCAAGAAGAACAAACGATCGAGAGAGAAGGAAGGGCAAGCACAGGTGCAGCTGAGTCTAAATGAACAATACTTGAAGATTAACATTAATTTTTGTTCTTTTAGTTTTGTTTGTTAATTTGTATCAATTTAAGGCTAAATCCACCATTTTCTTAAAAATTTTGTAATCTTAAAACGAACATAATTTTGTTTTGTTTATTTTAAGTTCATGTTGCAATCAATATTGTGGTTGCTCACTTCTAAAAGCAGCTAACATTTACAAATGGCTGCAAATTTTATTCTCATAATAGTTTCACTTCATAAATTAAAAAAGCAAAGCACAGATACCAATGAATTAATTATTCTTCTTTAAAGCATAAAGCAAAGGGCAAAGTGATATTGTGAAGTTGACATCAAAAACTATGCTTTAGCTGAGCAAAATAGTTGTTTAATTTAAAACAAGGAAAAAGGGAATTAATTTAAAACTTAACATCTTAAGCTGAGAGGGGCATTTTTCGTTAAAAAAAAAATCATGTACATGTCATGTAATATTTTCGAGTGGTTTGATCGGAAAAATTTTATTAAAAAAAATAAACAAAAAACTTGCTTAAATAACATGAATATAATTAGTTCATTTTTAGGATGTGAGAATATATCAAAAACTTAATTTACTATATAAGAACAAACCAAGCTATTGACCTTATATTTAGCGGTTGAAGAAGTTAAAAATTTAATCATATGCTCATCATAATGTGTACTTGTACTTTTAAAATTGATAGAAACCTAATAGAAGGATTAAATTTTAAATGAAAAATAGTTGGAGTGAAGCCTAAACTAAAATTAAAAGTTGAGGGACTGATTCTCAAATGATTTATAATTCTTGAGAGGTTTTGACCATTTAGCCCAAATATAATTATATTAGAAAATTTTATTTACCATTCCATCAAATTAAAATTGAGGAAATTAAATAACTAAATTAGATCATACTTTCTTGTAACTTATACCTATAAAAAATAAACTAACCAATGTAAATCAACTAATCAAATGATTTATGCAATGTTTGTATTATGCTATTAATAGATTAAAAAAAAAAAAAATTAACATTTGATTCAATTATAGCCCCTTTGAAAAAAAATTAATGTTCAACCCAAAGCATAATGCAAACCAATGCAAAACCCATTTCATATTCAACAGAATCCCATGAAAAAAGACGTTTGAAACAACTAAACCAGAAGTAATTATACTGCTAGTCGAACTATGTAGCATGCAGTTGTTTAAAGTTGTATTCTAGCAATTGTAACCATGAAAAAAGAAGAGAATTGTATATCTAGCAAGCATGACAACACAGTTGAACAGATTCCAAACGCGAAAAAAAGAGCGAACACGTTTGCTTTCATATTCTTTTCTTCTTTTTGCTTTTTGTTGCCGAAGCAAGAATATTTATGCATTGTGTATCACGATTATGGTCAAGCTCCAATATTAAAAGAATATTTTAATTTAAGAATATTAATCTGAAGTAAGAATCTATGTCTTTTATATGCTTACAACCCTGAACAGTTTTCTGTTCTCTATTTCCATCTGCTATGTAATATTAATTTATAAGTTTTTTATACAATTAATATATCATTATCGATTTTCATTAAAAAGTAATAATAAAAGCTTTACCTTTACTTTATTACTATAATAACAAAAACTTTCTCCTCCAATATTAATTGAGTTACAATTTATTTAAATGAAAGATAAACTTTTTTTTAGGAGGTACCCACCTCTACCTCTAGTTTATGTTTATTGTTAAAGTCAATGAGCTATTTATGATATGTTCAAAAAATATATCTGACATTGAATGAATAAACCACATATGAGTAATATATAGAATTAAAAAAGTGAATTCATCGTAAGACTTAACTTTTTTAATAAAATATATTTGTAATTTCAATTATCTAACTTTATATAGTATCAACGATCTAATAAAAACTCTAAAAGCCAAGTCATTTAGTATATCCAAAAAACATAAGTTATAGGTGAGAGAAAGTGTGTTAAAAAACATATCTCATGTTTAATAAATAAACAATATATTATCGATTTTTATTAAAAAAAAATAACTTTATCTTTACTTTATTGCTGTGAAAGCAAAAACTTTTTCTTGCAAAGAGGAAAGACTCTAATGCTAATTGAGTTACAATTTATTAACTAAAAATAACTTTTATTTATTTATTTATTTTTATTTGAGAGGTACCAACCTCTACCTGTAGTTTATGCTTATCATTAGGGTCAAGAAGCAACGTGTGATCAGGGAAATGTTTGAGAGCTACATTTGATTGGGGAGATGTATGGACCTTGTCGTCGGTGTTGGCCCTGCACACATGAAAACTCACATATAAGCACGGATACCACTTCCAATTTAAAAATCTAGACTATTGAGTTCCATATCCATCTTGTATAGAAATGTCATAACTCAAATTTTGGATTTTATTAATTTTTATTCTATTTTGTTATTGATGAAAACCGTACAATGAAGGACAAAGTTTAAGATTTTACTCTTGCAAAAAAAGCAAAGAATGATTGATGAATAGTCAGATCACAAATGAATCTTTATAGCTAGCATTTACAAATGGCTGCGAATTTTATTCTCATAATAGTTTCACTTTATAAACTAAAAAAGCAAGGCACAGATACCAATGGATTGTATATATAGGATGGGCAAATGGCTTAATTAATTATCAAAAACTACAAGGTAGCTAGCTATAGGTTTTTTCTCCAAAAACAAGTTTTTGTTGACGGGCATTGAATCAACGAAGAGGTAGGTAGGTAGGTAGAGGAGCATTTGGATTACTTCCATTACTGAAAGGTACAGTTTTTATTAATTTATTAATTTTGTTTTCAGATAAGTACTTACAATTACATTATTTTAAATACAGAGAGAGATCAGCTAGTAATGGATTCTGACTCAAAAAAGAAGTCACCTTATGGGGCAGCCATGAGTGAAGATTGGGAAAGCATGATTGACCACTATAAATCGAACCCCTCAGATTTGTTCCATTCAGTTACATCCGTTAACGATACTGCACTCCATGTAGCAGTGTGCAGCAAAACAGAGCAACCACTTAAAGATTTACTTGCTTTACTACCCTCTATTGACCAAGAAAATCTCTTGAAGCGTAGAAACAATTATGGAAATACTGTTCTTCACGAGGCAACCATCTATGGAAATTTTGAGGCAGTGGAACTGTTGGTGGAACTTTATCCAGACCTAGTTTCCATTCGAAATAACTATGGTGAAACCCCATTGTTTACAGCTGCTGAATTTGCTGAGGCAAAAATAGTGAAATTCTTGCTTGAATCAGTATCACAACAAATAGTGGATGAAGATGGCCGCCTACTATCAATTCACTGCCAACGATCAGGCAAACGCCGATCAGACAACGTCTCCATCCTTAGCGCTGCTATCTTAGGGCAACACCATGGTAATAATTTCTCTCTTTAGTTCTCAAAAATATCTAAGACATTGTATTGATGGATCCATAGATTGCTATACATATGACCTGTTTATATAGAGAATAAAGAAAAAAATACAATCAGGAAATGTATGATTTCCCTTAATGTTGCCTGCTTAATTGATTTTATGTTCTCTAATAAATATTCCAGATACAGCTTTGATGTTGCTAGAACTGGATGAATCGCTCCACAGCTTGGAGGACGATAAGGGCATAACTGCTCTTCAACTTCTAGCCGACTCCCCATCTGCTTTTAAGAGTGGATATCCCATGGAAATGCATGAAAGACTCGTGTACAGTTGTATGTATACACCAACCATGCACGTCGTTATTAAACCTTACAATATTGCCTGCATATATATAATTTCTACTCTAAACTATTTAATTAATTAACTTATGTGCACTGAATTATGCGGCAGGCCTTCCTGTTACACCTCCCCACAAGGTAAAAAAATCGCAGGAAGAAACTTCGGGCCAGGCAAGCCAGTGGTTGGGAGATCTGGAGAGCGGTTTGGGGAGGACCCCAAGAGGCTGCCTACTCAACTATTTAAATGTCTTTATTAAAGGTATTGGACCCTATTGAGCCTTGTTCTGTTGGTTTAAATACTAGGTGGTATTATTAAGCTACCTTTGTATTATTGATCGACCTTGTCTTTATTAAAGGTGTGTTAGGGAGTGATATCAATCATGTCTAAAAGCCTTTGACTTTAGGACTTAGGAAATGTGTGAAAGAGTAATGTTAATCAGATCCTCAAATCTTAATATCTTAAGTTTTTGAGTTCATATGATTTTTTGACAAGTATTAATCCTTCCCATGCATTGTTAATGAGTTAATATAAAATTATTATAGAGTAATGTAAACCATATCCTGAAATCTCATGGGCATGTTTCACTTGATAGGTTAAGCTTTTAGATTAACATGTTATTTGACATTGTAATCATTCTTCTAATTGATTAAAAAATTCAACACAAAATAATGATGAGTTTGTATAACTTTAAAGTTTAAAAAGCTTTTCTTTTAGATGATGTGTTAGTAACTCTAAACTCATTCTTGAGAACTCATGTAATAATTTAAACTTTTGAGTTGATATAATTTTTTGTTATGCGTAATCCTTATACTTGATGTAATATATATATTTGTGTGTGTGAAAGATAAAATCTAATTGATGGACAAAACCAACAACGGAGTGGCTCAAAAGGTATAATACAATTAGAAAGTTTCAAAGAGTAATGCTAATCAGATCCTCAAATCTTAATATCTTAAGTTTTTGAGTTCATATGATTTTTTGACAAGTATTAGTCCTTCCCATGCATTGTTAGTGAGTTAATATAAAACTATTATAGCTTAGACTTATCTCTGTAAACATTGTAAAGGTTCAAGAGTTCTACTCTATACACACTTGTAAGCCTATAAATGGCAGAATTTCAATCTGGAATAATGTTGAGCAAAAACAGTTATACATTCTCTTCCTAAATTTCAATCTTCTTTAGCAAAGAGTAATTGGTTAAAAATTCTCTTCCACTGAATTTAGCATGTCTATATTTTGTTTCTCTTTCTACTATCATTATTTATATTTCTTTCTATTTCATAAAAATGGCTAGCTCTCAAGCATCCATGTTTGATTTCATTTCCTTTCGTGCATAAACATAAATAGGGTATTGGCCAGCATGGCTACGAAGATTGTGGGACGAGAAAAAAAGCATGCGTTTGCTTGGAGGCTCGCCGAAGTCCTAATAAACCAAGAAAAATCATGGAATCCAGACGTAAGACAAGAATACGGCCCGGAAGCGGCATCAACTTCCATCCCCTCCCAAAATACCGGAGGAAAAACTTCTGCAGATCAAAGTAGTGACGCATCGACTACTGACAGTGAACAAGGTGATCAAAAAATTGTTTTCCAATGCAAAGAAATAGAAGTAGTCCTAAGGCGACCAGAACAAACCTCAGCGACAAAGCCATTGTTAACTAGAAAGGAGAAGCCACTTTTTATTGCAGCTAGACAAGGAATAGAAGAGATTGTGAGTGTGATACCAGAACAACATCCTCAAGCTATTGACCAATTGGATGGCAAAGAGCGGAGCATTTTGGATGTGGCCGTCATGCATCGCAAGAGCGAGATCTTCAGTTTTGTAAACCGAAAGAAAGTACCATTGGCTAGACTGCGTCGGAATATTGATAAAGAAGGCAACACATTGTTACACCATGTTGCAGATATGAAGCACTACAGTGGAGGAACCAGGCCTGGGCCTGCACTTCAACTTCAGGAAGAGATGCAATGGTTGGAGGTGAGCCCTTCTCATCCCTTTATCTTTACCTCCTGATAAAATTTGTTGATGGACTTAGATACAAGATTATCCCTGTAGTTTATAATACATATCTATATAAGCATTCATATATAGAAAATGCCATTAAACTTTTCTTTTTCTTTTTTGAGAAATCAAAGTGAATGCAATATCATTTGTTTGTCATTCTCTTTAACTTTTTCTGCAATCATTTTAAATCTTATTTTTTCAACAATATTAATTACATCATAATTTTACGATATAACGAAGTCCAAAATATTTCTTATCAATGCTACAATTAATAGCCATCCATCACTCTTGTAGTATTCTTATAACAAAACAATTTAACTTACTTTTTTTTTCCAAATAATTCCATTTAATGTATATTAATTACTGATGTTTTCTTTGCACAAAAATCTCAAATTACAATTCTTTCTATATACTACAAATAATTGCATTGTTTAAAATCATTATCTTTAATGTTACATTTCTCATATATTACTCACCTGTAAAAGCCACTGAATCTTTTCTGGTTAATTATCATCTATCTTTGCCTCAAGAAATGAGATTAAGAGCTCATTCTAATCCAAAATTTTGGTTTGGGGTTTCCTTTAATAGCTATCATATATTTATCTCCCGATTATTGCAGCGAGTGAAGAAGGTAATTCCATCCCATTATGTCGTTCTTGAGAACAACAAAGGCGAGAGAGCAGCAGAGCTCTTCAAAAGAGCCACGAGACGCAACTGGAGAAGGCACAAAAATGGATCAAGGATACCAGTCAATCTTGTTCAAGTGCAGCTGCATTTGTAGCTACTGTTGTCTTTGCTGCTGCCTTAACTGTACCTGGAGGTTCTGATGAGAAAGGCACCCCCAACTTCATCAAATCTCCCTATTTTCTGGTTTTCACTGCATCGGATGTTGTCTCCTTAGCAAGCTCCTTGACTTCGTTTGTGTTGTTTCTCTCTATGTTGACCTCTCCATGTGAGCAAGAAGATTTCCGTGTCTCTCTTCCTCAGAAACTTATTATTGGCTTCACCTTCCTCTTCTTCTCGGTGATGACCACCATGAAATCTTTTGGGGCAACAATTTTGATACTCATTCAGTCAGAGAAAAAGCTAACTACATTACTCCTTTTCATTGCTGCATTCCTTCCAGTCTTCGTATTTGCAATAATGCAATTCCGTCTGTGCGTCTCATTGATGGGCTCTACAATCAACTTTCTCGATATAACCAAGAAAGCTCTTCCTTCGCGTCTTGTCCGTCGCCTACGAGGGGGAAAAAGCAGTTCTGAGCTAGGTATTGGAGATTTAAGTAGCATGATGTTCTTGATCTTGGCTGGTTTCGACCTAGCCCATTGATCATTATACAGTGTGTTGCAAAATCTATGGTTGCTGTTTAATTTCGTGATATTTATGAGGCTGTGTACTCATCAATTCTGGGCATGTAGCCAATAAGCTATTATATATAGTGTGTCATAGTTTGGTATCTAATTGAGGACTGGGACAATTCAGATCAATTTTATATATATATGAATAAGATATGCTTTCTTGATTTCTTCGATATAAATTGAGAGAAACTATTATCTTACTGAATCAAGAAAATAGAATATTAATCCAACATCATGATATTTTAAAACAAGGAAGCGAATGCAAACATAAATCAGGTGCGCATATATAGGAGGATTGAATGGTAAGCAAGAAAAGATGATTCGGCCAACCTCAATGGTACTGTGCCTGTGGTTTGGTCAAATCACAAATGCATCTTTGTAGCTTCAAAAGGCAGCTTCCATTTACACCATTCACTTTTTTTTTTTTTTTTTTAATGAGGTAAAGCTATATACTTGTGGGTTTTAAGCTTTGGTACACCTTAGCATCGTCTGGGCCGAACAATACATAATTTCCTGTAGATATCAGTTGAGACACTGACAAGATATTCTTCTTCATCCTTGGTACATGATACACAGCCTGTAATTGCTTTTACGAATCTTCATTGGGTAAGCTCTGTAGTCTACACCTTGCCTTGCATTAATTTCCCAATATGTTTCTTGATTTGATATATAAATTAAGGTGAAGGTGCCCTTTTCCATGTTCGTTTCTTGATGACTATAACCAAGGTCTCTGAGTTCCTTCCTTTTCTTCTTCTTCTTGTTTTTTTTTTTTTTTTGGGGGTGTGTGTGTGTTGGGCAGGGAATGTTTGCACACAAAAGGATAGTAAATAGAATATTAATCCAACATAATATTTTTAAACAGGCAAACGTACACATATACAATAATTTCTGGCAAATTGCGAAGCCCTCGGGGTTCACATGTCAGGCTTTTGGATAGAATTGCAAAAGTGAAAGAAATTCTATGTAAGAAGGATTGAATGGTATGCAAGAAAAGATGATTAGGCAAACCTCAAGGATCCTGTGCCTGTGGATTGGTCTGTGTTACCGTTGTTGACAGCATAATTCTTGGTTGCTCTGCAGCTTTTGGATGATTTTATCTTTGAAGCTGTAAAATTCAAAACGCCAAGTACAATAAAGTGAATTTAGCCTGTCTTGATGTTATTTTGCTAGCACTTATGAGAGATGGCTCAACTTTTGTAAAAGGTGTAAATCCCCTGCTGAGGTGCATAAGATGGATTTTGGATAGCACTGCACTAACGATAAAGATTATTTGACCAAAGCAAAGAACAATTAATTCCATTCATCAACACAAAAGGGCATTGTTTGATAAGAAATCATCAAGTTTTTTTCTATTTTGAGTCAGAGAAGAATCAGAGGAAACAGAGGAAGTTAATTCATAAGAAAAGCGAATAGGAAACGGATTGGGGTTTCACTGTTGAAAGAGAAAAAGGAAATTAAGATAGCAATAACCATTACCAAAAAGAAAAGAAGAACCCACACGATTCTCACTCTCTCTTCCTCACTCTCAATATATATATATATATATATAGATATCTGTGTGTTTATTATTTTACTTATTTGTTTATTTATACAGGTAGAGTCAAGAGATCGAGGGAGAGAGAGAAAAATGAGGTGAGGAGGGTCCTTATTTTGAGACTGATCTCTCTTTAGTGAATGTACAACACAACACAACACCAACAATATGGTGTTTATAGGGAGAAAAAAGAAAGAAAGAGAGAAAAAAGTCTATGTCTTTCTCTATTTCTATCTCTCTCTATCTCTGTATTGTTGGGGGTGTTGCATTGCATGCAACTCGAGAACCACTCGTGTGGGTGGGTGGGTGCGTCCCTCTAAAACATATGATTTTTGGCGTTGGTATTGGTGTTTGGCTTTGTTTTCTCTCTTTCTTTCCTTGGTCTTTCTTGGGGTTTGGGGAAAACCAGAATCTGTTTGTCTTTTACTGAAAGGCTTTTGCTTTTTTCAAATGTTGATATGATACCTAAGGTATTCTGTATGGCATTTTATCATTATGATCTATTTGTTGTCTTTCTGATTTATTTTTCAATTTGTTTTGCTAGTTTATTATCGCCAATGGTGGTTTGGTCCGTGTACATACACACAGACGTTACCAAGTATCTTCATTTCAAGGCTGTTGATGGTAGTTTTGTGTACAATAAAGGAAAGGTACATAAAAATTTGCGCATGATCTAGATTGTCTCTTTCTACAAAGCTGTATAACAAGAGCTTGTTATCTAGTCAGAGTATGAAATAAGTAATAATGATTTTCAGATCTACAAAGTTCCAGCAACTGATCATGTGGAAGCACTAAAATCACCATTGATGGGATTGTTTGAGAAACGTTGTGCTCGAAAGCTCTTCATTTATGTCCAAGACTACGAGGAAAATGATCCCAATTCTCATGAGGGTCTGGACTTGACCAGAGTTACAGCAAGAGAGGTTATCTCGTATGTGTCTCATCAACATATATATTTCTCTTTAATTAAGATCACATCATCCATTGATGGACTTGAAAGAATTCATCCACTTTGATGTATGTTTTGTATTCTTGAGAGCTAGCTGATCAAATTTAATTATTAGAGTTGTTATAACCAAAAAAAAAAAAAACCACCTCCATTTTTTTATTTTTTATTTTTTTTAAAAAAAAGAGAAAAAATAGAAATATAATAAAATACAAAAAAACAAAGGGGTAGAAAACGTAAAATGTTCATCAAGGGGCCCAATTGAAAACATTGTTATTTGCATGACTAAAATATCTCGAAAATGAACACGATTGCAGAGACTTGACATTCGAAGGGACCAAAATAGAAAGTTTGAGCAAATGACAGGACTGAACGCGAGTGAACGACCTGTCATTCGCTCCAACCCAAAGTTCTTCCTTAAGCCATTCGAAAATCTGTCTGAATCCTCAGTTAATCGGTTTGTTTTTGAATTCAATCTATCCTGATTTGTTTAACTAATCAAATTCAAAATCTATGACAGAAGTTTGAATTTAAATTAGATAGCTAAAAAATTTCCGAGTTTGAAGGTAGTTGAGTTGGAGTGAAACTTGAATAGAAAGCATCTATAAAAGGGATAAGAATTCGAGGTTTCAGGGGGGATTTTTGGGAGGAAGAAATTCAAGGGTTAGGAGAGGTTGGAAAAATAAAAAAAAAGGATCTAAATTTTATTTTTAGGCAATAGCTTTTTTTTTCTGCATTTTTTTTTTTTTGGGTTGTTCTTCATGTTCATCATTCCTGGGTTCACGCTTTTCACTTTCTGGGTTAATCGAAGAGGGTTTGATTCTAGTTTGGGGAAGATTTTGGGATTTCAGATTGATATAAGCAGAAACAAAAAAAATAAAAAATAAAAATAATAAAGAGATCTGCATTTTAGGCTTTTGGGTTTTCTGGGTTGTTCTTTAAGTCTGGGTTTGGAATTTCATTTCGTTGCTTGATTATTCTGGGTTTGGGTTCGATTGGCAAGAGTCTGTTCACTTCAATTTCTGATATTTGAGGTTTTGATTAGTTTTTTTTTTTCGGGTTTTATTCAAATTTTCTGGGCAGACACTTGAATTTCTGGGTTTACAGCTTAAAGGTCTGGGTTTAGGATGAATTTCTGGGTTTTTTTTGCGTTCTTGCATTTCTGGGTTTTAATAATTTCCAAACTTCTGGGTTCCTGATTTTCTTGATTCCTGATCTTGTTCTTCATTCTAATTCCCAAACAACAATCCATTTGAGCTTTTTCTAAATCCTCAAAACACCATCAAACATAACAACATAAGGTGGGACGTCCTCATTAAATCAAACCTGCAAAATTGACAGCAGCAACAGCAACAGAGTCCAAAAATGGTCCTTCACTCTTTCGGTTTTCGCTCAGGTATCTTACTGCCAATGCCATTCCCTTTTGCTTTGTTATATTAATCATTCAGCTATTCGAATTCGGAATGAAAGAGAGAGATTGGAATTTAATTCTGGTGAAGAACTAAGGGGATTGAAAACGAGAGAGAGGGAGGGAGCAGAGGAATAAAAACGAAAAGGGCTGGACTGCAATCAGTCCAGCCCATCTCGTCGTTCCCTTTTTAAAAAAATGAAGGGGGCTGGACTGATTTCAGCCCAGCCCAGACCCTTCTATTGAAAAAAATAATCAAAAACGCAAAGAAGAGAGGCTGGACCGACTTCAGTCCAGCCTTCTCCCAAAAAAATAAAATAAAATAAAATAGAAAGATAAAGGAAAAAACGTAGAGAAGAGAGGTTGAAAAATAAAAAAAAAACATAAAAATAAAATTAAAAAAATAAAATGTTTGCTTGTAATCTAAATGTTAGATTTTTTTTTATGCTTAGCATTTCGTATTTAATTTTGATACTTAATTATTTTAAAATTGTTTGTAATTATTTTTTTTTATTCATATAATTCTCAACGAAGT